ACAGGTGAGGGGAAGGGCTGGGGAGACCAGGTGAGGGAAGTGAGCTGATTACAAGGGCTTGGAGGAAGGCGGGATCTGAAATGACAGGAGAGTTTAGTTGAGCCACCAAACAAACAATAATAGAAGTGTCTAACTTGTGACAAAATAAGAGAGTTGAAACAAAGATTTATATCAGATGATAAATTAAACTTTAAATATTTGTTTTAATGGTTCGGGACCCTAATTTTTTGCGGCGGACAGTTGAAGCAAAGTCTTTACATTTTCAGATATTTCTGATCCCTTTGGAGAGGAGTGCCAAAACATTTGACGTTGGTTTATCTTAAGAATTAGAACAATTAATTATCTGAAAGGATATTGTTCAAACCATCCAGGGGATTGACCAAAGACTTGACCACCATGACTTTTTGAACAGGTATACAAAGAAGTACACATTTAGCAATTTCAGGTTTTTGTTTCCGTCCAAAGTGAACATTAAAAAAATCGTTGCCTTCTACAGTATCTGCAAATGGAAACTATGCTTAGTGGTATAAGTGAATAAACTATAATTAAAGTGGTTACATTTTGAATTACACTTGGAAAAGATCATAAGGGCAATACAAAAACAAGATAATAGCAGGACAAGGTATGAATCCTCCTTTCCTGCATGACAGTCAGACATGATACACACCCATCCATCCTGTTCTCCAAACCCTTACTGAATGCCTTGCTATGAAAAAGCAGACTATCCCCTTTGTTGATAAAGTATGGTGCAGGAATGAGTACTAAGTCCCAGAAATGTTACCACTTCCGGTTCCTTCATCTCAAACATGTTTTTGGTTGATAGCCTGAAAAAAGGTCTGTGGTTAAAACAAGCTTAAGAAATGTTTGCCGTTTTGTTCTGCAACATGAAATACGTCAGAAAACACCCCATTCCGATGATAGGTTCTTTTAAAACAGCGGTTTCTTACAAATGACTAAATAAAAGTACTAAACATCAATACACTGACACAAGTCTTCCTTTAGTTAGCAGTGTTAACGTGCAGCCGCGTGAACGTCATATAATTTGTTTATAGTCTAATTCTGGCAATTGCATTTAGGTTTCAAATATCATAAAAGTGGAGGTGTAAATATGTAGAGATTATCCTTCTGAACAAAATGTGTATTGGCCAAAGAGCTCATTTCTGCAATGTAGGAAAATCCAATGAGGAATTTCCCATCGCCTTTTGTCAAGGGAGCCCTTGCAATGCTAACTTCACAACAATTGGTCACCACTGATGCATTCCAAAGATGTGAAGTGCATTAAACACGGATGCATAGAGATCCAACGTGAAAACAGACAAACAATGCGGCTTTGGAAAAGAACAAAAGAATGTTGTGTCATGTGACTTTTATAAACGTCTAGATAAGGGTTTTAGCTTTTACTTGATATCTTATTTAGTTTTTAACCACTTTAAACAATGCTTGTTCCGATAGGCCCATGACTTTCCCCCCACTTTCAAAGGTAGCCACTCTTTTCTTTTCAGATGTTGTGTACAATTAATTGTTCATACTCTTAAAACTGAGCCTTACATTTATACCATTCATATACCCACTTAAAATGCTTTAGTTTCTGTCCTTTTGTTACCTTTAGGTTTATCCCTGTTAACAGATCCTGCATATGAATGTTGAAAACATTCTGGTTTCTGGTGGTTAGTCCAAGTATTGGCCCATCATGTTTTTGCAGACTGGTTTGTGGGAAAATAATCCGTGTGGGGAGCAAAAGAGGTGAAACCCATTTGGTAAAATGCAATTTCTGAGCCACCTTCTAATCAAGCTTCTTGAGAAACAATCCGTTCGTAGACATTGTCTTTGTATTCCAACAAAAGTAAACAAAGAGCAGCGCATGGAAAATCAATTATTGTTCAATTAATTTAATCTACTTAAAAAATTAATTATGTAAAATCTATTTTTTACTTGTTACCACTGATTTTTAAATATTGATCCAATCTATGCAGCCAGTTCTTGCCAGTTATTTATTTTCTAAACAAATACTAAATGATAGCATATGTCTTCGTCAGGAAAACCTTAGCCACACAGGGAGTGACCCCTTCAATGTTTACGGAAACAATAACTGTGATATCTTTGGTTATAAAGGAAAGAAAAACACAGTAGCTGGCAGCAGCTCTGGCAGCAGCTCTCATCAAATCAGGCAAAGAAAGAACTCTAATTGCATCAACAAAAATGCAGCTTAAGAAGAAACAGATGAATACACTGTAGAAAATATTTGGTGCTGTCAATGTTTATATTTTCTTTACAGAAACATCCAACATTATAAGAATGATAATGACTAGCTCCGATGTTGCCTTCAGCGTCGTTAACGTGAATGATAATGACTGACCTGGCAGGAAAACACTCACAGGATCAGCAGAGACCACACAGGTGACAATTTGAGTGTGGAAGTTCATTCTTGGTCTATTTAAACAGCAGCTGTATTCAAATAATCTAACCTGAAAGGTCCTCCAGCTTTTGCATAGCTAAAATTATAACAGTGTAGTCTGTGTCTGTTGTGGATGGAACTGCTAATGTTTTAACATATTATTTTCTTTGTAGATTAGTATTAATTAATTAATTAATTAACTAAAGGGTGTTATATCACTATCAATGTAATGCTATTTAATTATTTGCACTTAGCTGTTAAAATTATGGTAACCTAACAAGTTAGCCGGCTAATAAGTTATTTTGTCTCATTTGGAGATCATTTAGCAATTGTTATGGTTGTTGTGTCAGCAACTCATGTGTTGCACATCAGAAACACTTATTCCAACACAAAGCATGACAATTGTGTGGTGGTACTTTAAGAATTAAGTGAATTAAAATGGCATTATCTCAGTAAATAGCGAATATATTTGAAATAGATTTTCTTCAATTTAATGCCAAACTTGCTTGCTCAAAATGTAGATATTGACATGGTCCAACAGACGAAACCATCCACACAACCCAAGCAATGTTTCTGAGACTAAGGGTTCAAAACTAACAGGCCAAACATTTTTAGGCTGTTATACACATGGCCAAGATTGTTGTTTCCGTATAGCGCCACCATCTGGACATGGGGGATGTCGGTCAGAAGAACGGTTGTCGAGAAATTCGACAGACAGACAGATAGAGATAACTTTCTTTATAGTTGAAATCTTGCCAAAGTGTTTTGCCTTCATTAAAAGTACTACTAACCATGTCTTCAGTATGAGTTTACCCATTCATACATTCAACCGGTGTTCAAAATGATGATGTATGAGTGTTGACCTGAGCTTTTGCAACAACTCTGCAATGAATGAAGCCTAAGTGCACTTCAGACTGCTTATCGCGTGTGTGGGGCTTGAAAAGAAAGACAACCCTCTCTGAGCCAGAACATTAGTGTTGGAATCCAAAACTACAAACACTTCAAGATGAGAAATAATGATGAGGAGATATCAGACGTGGCTCCTTTCTCCACTCTGCACTCTGAGTAACTTCATGTTAGGCGGCTGCCAGCAGGGAGTGCAGAACTTTAAAACATTTTAAACTTTGAATGCTCATAAGCATAACAATTTTGTTCGACCAACTTTTTATATAGAAAACATTTCCGCACTGAAGTTAGGATTTGGCCTTGGGGCCGTTGAAAGCTTCAGGATTATTGTGTCAACTGGTTCTGCTAGTTTGTCAAACGTTTGGGACTGTCTGTTGCTTTTGCTTTTGTGTATGAACCCAGGCCCTGTCTTTAGAATGGTCTTTAAAATCGAGTTTATAGGATTTTAATTAAACTTTAAAAACCAAATATGTCATTTTCTGCCACTAGAGGTCTAAAACAGTAACTAAAAACAGAGTTTTGTGTGGGGGAAACTTCTGTGTAGCAATGCAGGAGGAGTCACCGACTCAAAGGAGACACGAGGAGAGCTGGAGCTTTGATGTCAAACACTGATGGGTTTATTTGGAGCAAGTCAAAGAGTCAGAGGTTCTGACTTCACGGTTGAGATACCACATCAATTCTGAAGAACCCTCCTGTAGCTCCAGGTTTTAACTAGTTCAGAGTGTAATAATCAACCTTCTTCAATAGATAGACTAAACAGCTGAGGACACTGAATCACAGTTGTTGTCGCGGCTCGGGGTCATCTACACCCCGAGAAGGATGTGTTCCAGGTGTCCCACAACAATAACTATCTCTGACCGAGAGTTGCCCGGTCATAAACTGGTAACAACAACAACAATATGCTAGGGCAGCCCTTCCTTATGGGAGATAACGGCTGCTCAAGGCTGGGCATCTGCGTCAGAGGGCGAAGGAGGACATGCAGGGCAAATTATTCCCCAACACATTGGATTATAGGAGTTGTTGACTTCCCCAAAATGGCTCTCAGCTTCTGTTGGTTAAGATTTCTTCATTCATCATTCATTCGATTTTTACCGGGAGCAGAATTATCCACGGGCTGGACTCATTTCCCGGAGGGGGTGCAAGGCAGCTTGTCTCTAAAGTCTTATCATGCAAATTGCACTTTTTGATGTCTTTTATACATAAATATGTGTCCCCGGTGTGCAGGGAACTCACAAAGTGTCAGAAAATTAAAACCTCTCTCTTTTCCTCCGTAGGCCTACCCAAATCTCTTAAAAAGGGGGTACAACGGAGCTGATCCAGATTTGCGTCCGATATGACGTTTTATCAGAAATGTGGACCCACAGCACTATCAGAAACGTTGCTATCAGAAACAATGCGCGACGTGTTTTGGACGTAATCTGGTGTTTGTTTACATTAGCAAGCATCGCTAACACTCAGAGCTAAACTGTACCGGAGAGAGTATGTGTAATAAAGCAGGAAATTAAAAAAAGGAACTCACCTTGTGGTAAACCCGCAAGAGAGAACGCGTTTGAGCTCCATACTGTTTCAGGAATAATCCTTGGAGTGGTTTGGAACATGAGATGGCGTTTAATCTGTGATTTTTGATGATGTAGTGTTTGTAAAGTAACGTAATAACGAAGATAATAAACAAAAGAAAGAGCCAAAAAACATCTTCAGACAAGTTTTAAACATAGTTTTTTTAATTTACATGTTATACTTTTACAAAAACAACTCTTTAATAACAGGACTGCAAAGCCAGAACGCTAGCAAAGATTAAGAACACCATCAACTCTAAAATACAGAGTGGTCTTGTCAGATTTGAACAGCCAACTGTGGAATATGATCCAGTTAAAACACTCAACACCACGAACGTTGCTTCTCCCTAAACAATGTGCACGTTGCATTATATCCGGGATGTTTTTGTACAGTTTAAATACAGTATCAAAGACACAAAATACAACATCTGTCTCAAAGCAGGTTGTAATCAAGTAGCCTAACAGTATAAAGAATATGCAACATAGTATGAGTGTATATACTGTATATGTATTTATATACACACTGCAGACGGTCACAAAGTGAAGAAGGCCCCCTGTACTGCCAAACTAAGCTGTTCTATTCACATTTAACAAGATTATCTAAAGATGCCATGAAACAGCAACCATAATACAAAAGTCACCAAAAATATATGCCATTATGAAGAGCTACCATCTTTTTTTTCTTATATTTTCCTACTTTTAAATAAGGACTGGAAAACGTATACAACATCAAGTGTACATTGACAAGGCATGTCCTGTATATAATCGAGATATCTTAAAACATTGCACATGAAAAGGGATCAAAAGAAGAGGGCATGCTGAACAATATATCAAAGCTACGCTGGATGAAGAGTCATCTTGAAATAAGGCCTTGACAGAACTGAAAACATGCTCTCCACTTCACAGAACGATATGAACATGCAACTTTAAAAACAAACAGAAAGGAGCTGTTTGATGTCAAAGCTTTGTTCCAAGTTTCACAGATCAAAAGGGGTCTTCGCCTATTTGATACTCCTTCAGTCACATTTGATTTGAAACAAAATACATTCTTTTTTATCTATATATATCTATATATATATATCTTTTAAAACGACACCTGTCCATTTATTGCACACCATCGGTTCACGAAAATATTTTGGGCACTTTTGCGTTTCAACACACAGCAGCATTTCATTATAAAAAAGTCGTTTGAATACAGACACTTTGAACACAACAGATGAAAAGCATGATGTACAAATGGAGAATAGAAAACGTTTTTTCTTTTTAAATGTTGATATTGTGCAACTAGAGTTAATAGGTCCATTTACTAAGGCTAGCCTCTTAAATGCACAACATCATACAGTGTTTTAAGGGGCAACACAGCAGGACCCCTTTTTGCTAATAGCATGGACCACTTACAATGATTATCTCTCTTTTAATATGTGCAATTACTGATTGCCATGGCAAATCCCCAATGAGATCGAGAACATTTGGTCCTGTAGGAAAGAAACGTGATTTGTACCCAGATAAAAAGGGCAAATGGCACAACGTTTTGACTGATAGGGTGGCGCAAGCTCTTATTAAGACAGCTCTCAGCGACTTGAATGATCAGGACAGAGTTATATTGATTCCATCATCACAGCAATAATCATCTTTACATTTTACAATCACCCCTGTGTTAGGAGGTCTTACATCCTGCTGTGATCATTCTCAATGTCGGCTGCTTGTACTACTTTCAGGGGGCGACGGAAAAGAAACGACCCAGTCACAGTCAGTAGCATTCAACTCGTGGATTATAACCACGGGTATCATTATCTCCTCAAAATACAGAAACAACAATGTCCAAGTACACAATTACAACCATGTTGGCACGACACAGATAACAGGAGTTTGAAGTTTGACCAAACAAAAATAAAAAAAAAGTTGAAATTAGTAAAGTCAACTGCCAAACTGTGCTATCAGTTTAAGGTGAAGGATACATAATATATTTATCATTTAGAATGATACAACTCACAGTATTTGCATTCAATCACTTGCATTGCTTTTAAAGCAATATGATCACAAACCAACAACTTGTAATCTGTTCTGACTGTAAACTGGCCATCACAGATAGCATCACTTCCTGCTCCCTGGCTGCACACAGAGCTTTTATTTTTAGTCAGGGAATTTCTTTAATTTAGTTTTTCCCTTTGTGGCAACCTAGGTAAACAAAACAACAGAATGCTGGTGGTTATTCTAATAAAACAAAAGTCACACAATGATTCAAAAGGAAAAGAAACATGTTGTACCTAAGTGAAACATCATAACATATCTGCAGTGTACCTGTTGGTATATCGACCAGATTTTAAAAGCCATGTGAGATATCAATATTTAGAACAAAAACGGGCTTGAAACTGAAAAGAAAAATTGCATTTGACAAGCAGGCCTAAGTTCAAATAAGATAACATGCTACATTAAGCCTTTTGGGGAATAGAACATTGTTATTGTGAAACCTTGTGACTCCAAATGTTAGTCTTCTATTGATTTATTTGGTTAGATTTATATTAAAAAATACTTTTAGCTTTTTTTTGTTTTTGGAGATGCAAGGTTTGATTAAACAACAGTATTCAATAATAATAATAACAAAAAATAACTTATGATAGGTCAGAAATGATATACTGCACATGTGTTAAGGGAATACTCTGTCAATATAATCTTAGATAAAACAAAGAAAAGAAAAGTATTGTGTTCTTATAGATAAAAGTAAATGCACACACACACACCTGACATATCATATTTCACGACACCCAACATTCAAACACAGCATTCAAATAGTAAACTACAGTACAAGCTATTGCAATATACATAATATTCAGCTTAAACAGTTTGCCTATAGCGACGGCACTGAAGGAATAACACAGTCTCTGCCCATACAAACTAGGGTTGTCACTAAAATGAATTACAATGTTTTTTATTGTATTTAGCTCAGTTTGCAAAGACTTGATTTGACCTCTCCTTCTTCCTCTACACGTTGCTTTGTTCAAATGGATCTCTCAGGCACTTTCCAAAAAGGCTTGGATTCAACAGACCTCGAATTGGCTAAGACAGAAACGACTTTAGCTAGTGCTGCATTCACGTCATATGGGAAATAAAACCCTACTACAAAATGACTACAAAAAATACTGCTTCGACTCAAAAAATACTTGAGATTTGGTGATGGGCCAATTTTTTTATCCAAAGATATCTCATGTCACCAAAGAGGAAATTGCTGCATTCAAGCTCGGGGGAAATAATTAAAACAAAGAAAATAATCATTTAATTTGCTGGATTTGGTGTAAAACATAAAGTCAAATAAGTGCATCTGTGGAAAAAAACATCATCAAGGCAACTGAAGTCTCCGGAAAACTTCCATCGGGGGGACCTGAAGGCCTCACATGATGAGGTTTCAACATGTCCGAGTTCTCCCTTTGAGCCGCCGTGGCACAGATATTCCCATATGACATGACTGCAGAGTAAGACATGGTGGGCAAGCAGGAGGCTAGAATCACTCGATGGTAATGGAAGCCAGCTCCTTGGCCTGGGCATGCTGCTCTCCTTCAAACACCTCAGGGGAACTGCCTCCTCCACTGCTGTCCATCTTGGTCTCCTCTGTCGTGGCGCCCGTCTCATCGGCGTCCATCTTCAGGGAGGATGGGGCTTCCAGGGGGTCCAGGGGCTCGGGTGAAAAGAAGCCGGAGGAACTCTCGCAATTCTGGGTAGAGGAGGAGACCTGGGAGATGACGGGCATCTGCACTGAGGAGGAGGAGGAGGAGGAGGGGGCTGCGATGGAGGAGGTGCTTCCCGGGTACACGGGCTGATGGTCCGACTCCTCTAGCTCATAATGGACTCCCAGAGCCTCCTCTTCCTCCTGGACCTGGCTCAGGTAGTCGGGCACGAGGAAATCACTGCAGACACCAAAAGAATGAGAGGAGTTCAATGGCTTTTCATTTGCTATATTTATAAAAACAATATATTTGTTAAATCTGTACATTTTGACAATTTAAATGATGGTACATTAGCTAGCATTTCACAAAGATATGTGCCTTAAGCTGCATTCACATGATATGCCATTTGCTCTTCCCTCAACGCAAAGTTGGGCACAGAGCCTTCCAGTGAAAAGAGCCAATTATGTTTCATTTCTATGGTAACCTCCCCTGCTAGCTTGCTACAGCTGTCATCTGATTGGTTGCGTGTCGAAACGTCAGCCATAAACAAGGTCGAATTGGAAATAATTTAAACTTTTGAAGTCAATAATGACGGAGCAAATAGTCCATGTATTAATAAGTCAAGACTTTTTCTTTTTTTAAATGTGACAATTTGCTGAAATAATACATCGTTGGGATTTGGACTATAGAGGCCTGTACTACGAAGCAGGATTTTCGCTTAGCGGGCTAACTTCAGGGAAAACTCTGGGTTTCCGGTCCTACGAAGCTGGTTCTCTTTTTAGCGGGCTAGATCTCCATGGTAACTTATGCTGAGCGGCTAACCAGGGGCCTATACTACGAATCAGGATTTTCGTTTAGCAAGCTAACTTCAGGGATTTCCGGTCCTACGAAGCTGGTTCACTTTTTAGCGGGCTAGATAACTTATGCTGAGCGACTAGCCTGCTCCGGAGCAGGATAGGTTCCAGGATAAGAGATCAACTCAGTGAAAGCACCGCCTCCTGACCAATCAGAGCTCAGTGTGCGGAGGAAATACAGTTTAAAGTGCCGTAGCAGGAAAGACGGCCGGCCAAAATCACCGACTGTGTGAACGTGAAAATGAATAGAACATCACCTCCCATCTTCAGAGCAATCTATTATTATACTATTATGTTAAGAAAGCTTAATGAAATATCTGCCACAACATAAGTAACCGGATCAAAGTAACATTATGTAGCCTACAGTCCGCGGTACTGTGAGTGCAGACGTCGATGTGTCCCATTATCATTCATATCACTTCATAATGTATCATATATCTCCTTATCTGAGTCAGCTGAGCCGTATCTGGCCGTGCAACACTCACAGTGTCACATACTGTATGTAGAAGTATTATTTTAAGCAACACATTAAGTTGACGAAACACTCGAGTCCAATGTAATTAAAGTCAGATCGTGTCTTAGTGATATCATAAACCTGTTAATGTACGCATTCAAACACTTTCTGTTACCAGCTGTATTCACCTTGCAGGTGCAGCTATGTGGCTTTGATCCTGGATAAAGTGTTTAAGTCATGGATGTTTAAAATGTAACGTCTTCATATATGTCTAATATTATAGTTGACTTTTCATTCAGGAAGTATGACGCTGCGCTGTCAGTACACTTCTCCATGTTTGTGATTGGTCGAATGCTCCAGATACAACCCCTTTCATGTGAACGCGCACCTAACTAGATAGGGCACGGCTGGCTTGAGCGATCCACTTGATAACCTGCGTCGTAGGACCGTTTAGCGAGAGCGCATATGTTTTGGATTAGGCCAACCGGCTAACTCAAACATATCCAGGTTAGGTTGAACCAGCTTCGTAGTATAGGCCCCAGGTCACAAAAACCAAGAAATGTAAGGAGGAAATGTGGGCTTGAATAAATAAGTGATGGGCATGTGTTAATGTACAAGTTGCACTTCTGCTTTTGTGTCAGTTTAGTGAAGAAGTACTGTTTTTGTTTTTATTTCATTCGGTTTAATTTACTCCTATCTCAGTAAGTGATTTAGTACATTTCCCAGAATGCCTTTCAACAGCCACCCAAAAATGTAGTTGTCTTTACTCAAGGATGTATGCATGAAGGAACGGAAATATAGAAAGTTAGCTTAAGACAAGAGTCAATGATTCAAACTGAAGAACACAAAGTGTCTTGTGGGTGCAATATATTCTGGTCTGTGGAGGCTACTGCTGTAACCAATACCCATACATTGTATCTGCTGGATTTTTCCCTTTACAACTCGATTTTAGGGCAAACATTTCAACTAAATTACTGTCATTTTACACAGCTGATTTATGGCGGCTAAGAAACTAATCCTGTAGTCAGATAGGAAACTGGTTTAAAAAAAAAAAAAAGGTTTTCCCTGCTATCTCAATTGTTGTGTTTTCTGACGCGGAAATGATTTCATCACATCCATTGGAGTTCCTAACATATACGGCTTCCATCAAGAACAGTAGGAATCAGAGCTCAGTATCCAGTATTAATAGTTAAGGTGGAGTCGAACTGTCCTCACAAAGCGACAGCTGAATCTGACAAACTGCTCTTCAAACCAGAGTAGTTAATATATCTTTTTATGTGCAGACTGAGGATGGGAGTTAGGAGTCTGACTGTAATGCCAGATAATTTTCCACACTGTTATGATCTCAGCGAGGACCTTCTACAATAAAACTCTTGAGGAGTCAATGGCCCGTTTGAGTCCTGCCGACCTGTGAGGGCTTGAGTTGATTAAGAAGTGGAAAAGTCTGGGAAATAAAAACACTCTTCCACTTTATGAAGACACTGTGTTCTGACTTTCATGAGGCAGGCTGAGCTGCTGATAAAAACAAACAACCCACTCTATTTCATTAAAGCCCTGGTAAAAAAATAAACATGTGTTTTAGGTTTGTCACACTGCTGAAAATAATGTTATTAAACCACCCAGGCACATTATAATGATACAGAAATGACCAAGTGTAAAATTAGGTTGCAAAACTGTGAAAAAATAAGCAGTATTTTATACTGACAGCCCTAAAATAAATGCACAATCGCGGGTCAGGGTTGATTACAAATTAACACAATATTAACGACATTTCCTTATAACCACTTTTTTAGATGGTCCATTGGCCAACTAATACGGTGGCCCACGGCGATTTCTCACAGTATGACAGATGTACATCACTGCTAGCTAGCAAACGTTAGACTGCTTTAAGTGAGTGCAACTCATGATTGAGCGGTGGAACCACTGATGCAATAAATACTGCTCTTTATATAGTCCTAGGGGAGGGCTATGTTATAAGTGATGACCCCAGGATTTCTGGGCCACCCAGAGATTCCTAAAACAAAACTGTCCAACTCTACAATTCAGTACAAAAGTCTTCTCACCTGATCCGTATTAAGAAACAAATCTTAGACTTGACTTTAATTTATGACTGAAGAGTATGACTTTAAAATAAGGGATGAGTTATGTGAGGTTTTTAAGATCACTGCGCAGTTGGGTTCTTATATTGGCCGTTGATCAATGTATTACAAAAAGTAATTTTCTTATTATTGTCTACTTGTCAGTAAACAGAGCCAAGTGTAACTTCAGGTGTTTGCCATCTCTGTATAAAATCAAAGGAATAGTTCAATATTTTGGGAAATGGCCTTATTCACTTTCTATTTGAGAGTTAAAAAAGGAGACTGATAGCACTCTCATGTATGTAGCTTAGCCTAAAGCGTACGGACTGGAAATGGGAAAAAGGCTTTCTTGGCAGAGGTCACAATATCCATTTTTTTTTTACCTTTAAAGCTCACTTCTTAACATTGTTTACCTCGTTTGTTTAATCTGCAAAGACGTTTTCTGGGTTTATAACAGCTTCCTGGTCAGGTTCAATCACTTTTTGTAGTCTCCAAAGGTCACCTGACATTTATTCCCAAATGGCAAATGCTCTAACAGCTCATTGAAATGCAGTTTGTCTCCAACATCCAATGTTTGGGATAAAAATGTATAATCTTCCCGAAATGTAAATCTATTTCTCAAAATAAGTTACATTTTCAATGAATACCATCAAGTATTTCAGGTACTCTTGATCTGAGCATCAAGATCAAGTGCAATCATGTCGGAAACAATTCTACACAACAAAAGTCATAGAGGGAAAACGATCAAATGGACCTAAGGTATGAGAGTCTAAACTTGAGTAACTTTTTGATCCAGGTGAGATCTGAGTAAATGATGAGGGTCAGCGCCCCCGGACTCCTCACCTGCTCTGGAAGTAGTTTGCTAGTTCAGATGCCTCATGGTTCAGACTCCTCAGGTGTACAATTAAATTGCCAGAGTTGGTGAACATGGCCCCACACGTTTTGCACTCGTAAATCCGCGGCTTGCGGATTATGTGTCGGGAGACCCTCATGTGGTGCTTATATTCACCGAAGGACGTGAATGTGGCGCTACATATCTGGCACCGGAAACAGCGTTTACCTTCGTGCTTCAGCCGATGCATCTTTAGGGAGTAGGCCCGTGTGAACTTTTTCCCACAGCGGTCACACTGGAAAGGCTTAATGCCTGGGGGGGAGAAGAAAACAACAGAGTTCAGCTGTTCTGTGCATAAGCGTCACATGTCTTGGTATCTGTGTGTGGGTGAGGGTAAGACGAGGGTGAATGACATGGTACCACAAAGTCCGCCTTAACTGTTTTCCGAATAAAAACCACCCCCAGAGTAACTGGGAAGAATGAGTACTTCAGTGATATTTTATCCCTCCACCGTAGAACTCTTACACTACATCTTGAAAAGTTTGCAGATACATACAGTAGATCCTTTTTTTGTTTTGGTTTCCCTTTCACACAATAATTTCAAATCAATAGTCCACAAATCAATGTCTTTTACTTTGATATAGTTAACAAATGTTTAAATGCTGTTAATGTGAAGGGATGGATTCCAACTGATTTCAGATTCAGGTCTGCGTCTTCTTTATACCATGTGTTATTCACAACATGTTTTTATTTAAATGATGACATGCTTTGTGATTCATAATTGAATTATTATTTTCCCCTAAAAAACCCTCATATGAAGACGTTTGAACTCAAAATCAGTACATTATCGAGCACATGGCACAATCATCACATAAACATATCAACAGAAAGCATTACATTATTTTAAATAAATGTATTTGGAAATAAATCAATCGTTTATTTTCTATTCAACTTCATCTAGCGATTTTAGGATCTGTTGAAAGCTGACAAAGGGTTATTTAGCCATTTAGTTTTTTTTTTTTCGACAAACATTCATTTGCAGTGTCATTGGTACATCAAATAATGACCAAAACATAAAATGATTGCTGGGGTTGCTGTTTTTATAATCAATTTATCGAAATAACGTGTATTTTCCCTAGAGATTACATGTCAAACAGTGTTACACACAATTACATGTGAAATCGGTGGATAAATACTAAATTGCCCAAGATCAATACTCATGAAGTTTTCTTTTACCCCATCTCACATACCTGAGTGTATGAGCATATGCTGCTTCAGGTTTTGGATGCGTGTGAATCTGACGCCGCAGGTGGGACATTGGAAGGGCCTGTCGGGGCCGTTGGTGCCTGACCTGGCAGAGGGGCTGATGTAAAGGTGGTACGGATACTGAATACCCTCTAACCTGAAACACAAGGAGAGGAAACATCAAAGTGCTATTCAGTAGGGATGCTCCGATCAGGAATTTGTGGGGGCGATTGCCGGAATCAGTATCATACCAATCGCCGATCTGATCGGGTGGGTGCGGGCTATGGGGATCTTCCCTTTAAAGTGATGTTTAAAACTCAGTTAATGGGGCTCATTCACTGGCGCTTCCACAAACATCAACCAACATAATTATTACATTCAAAGGAAGTACATTATTCAAGTTTACATTAACTTTGGATAATAACACGGGAGAACGGGAGCCTCTCTTTTCCTCTCTCTCCGTCCCCTGACAGCCTGTCAGTATCGTCTCATGCAGCTCACTGATCCAGTAATGAGTGACCCGACAGTGAAGAATACATATATTTATAACTAGTTTAGCTTGTTCCAGAGGTAGATAAAATAGCTAAGTGTGTTAGGTCTAACTCTTAGTGTGTGTTTTGCTCCGCTCACCGGTCCGTCACAGCGGGCGGAGCTGCAGGATTTCTGCTTCACACACGTTGCTTACCGCTATTGTATTGTCATTTTCGGATTCACCTTAAAATACTGCCAGACCGGTGAAGCCATTTTGGCGAGCTTGTTTTGCCGCACACAGAGAAAAGTGTCATTTATTTTACGTCATGTGATCGGCCTTTATAGAGAGCATCGATCGATCGGAGCATCCCTACTAGGGCTGAACGATATATCGTGTCATGGCGATAACCGCGATATGCGCATGCATATGATATTCACATGCATATCATATGCATGATATTCACATCGCAGGGACTAAGATCCATTTTATAAAAAAAATGTATTCATTTTTTTAATAATCTTTTTTTTTAGGACGTACGATATTAAATAGGTAAATGAACTGAAACACGTCATGTTACAATTATTTTGCTGCTTGCTACAAAAGGAAAACTTGCGCGGCTCTCATGCATGTCAGGGGTACTTGAGTGAGTGACATGCAGGCTCTGCATGCACAGCAAACCACCAATCACAATCATTCTTGATCAGATCACAGCAGGCGCTGCCACGCTAGTTTGCAGACCATCAAAACACCGGTAAAAAATGGGCGAGACACAGGAGGACAATACCGGCGAGAATGAAGATTTACTTCCAAAAAGAAAAGCAACATCTGCCATCTGGAACTATTTTGGATCCAAAAAGGTTCTTCTCTTCTTCATTCACAGATGAACCCCCTTATTTGAGGGTAAGCAACATGCATTATCATGACATGTTAGATCATGACTTAAGGTATGATGAGTCAACCAGTTAAGATCCAGACGTCCGTGACTAAAATCCTTCATCCGGTTAAATATAGTTAAAAAAAACGCAATATATATCGCAGGGGGAAAAAATATCGCAATGTCAGTTTTTTTCAATATCGTGCAGCCCTAATCCCTACTATTCAGTAGAACATTTCTACTTTCTTAAGTAGAAGTAGCAGTACAACAGTGTATAACTACTCAAGTTACAAGTATAAATACTGCATTTAAAGTGTTACTTAAAGGGGACATATTATGAAAACTCACTTTTTTAGTATTTGTAAAGATACATTTGGGTTTCTAGGATTCCTACCAACCCACCAACTGTGAAATAAGACATCCCAGTCAGAGTTTTGTTGAATGCTTTGGTCCAAAAACATGGGTTTCTTCTTATAATAATAATAATAATAATAATAATAATCCTTATATTTATTATAGTGCTTTTCAATGACTCTCAAAGCGCTCCTTACAAATACACATTACACATACATATCATACATGTAATGGTCATGTGCTGTGGACAATACCCACAGGAGCAAATTCAGGTGAAGTGTCTTGCCCAAGGAAACAACGGCTTTACAGACGCAGCGGCGGCGGGTTTCGCCCCCTTTGATCTGATAATCAATGCACAGCGCACTGCGCCACACCGCCCATCTGCACACCTCGAAGTCATCAAGGCGCTTTACAAGTACACATTGATATCATACATGTACTGTGGACAATACCCACAGGAGCAAATTCGGGTGAAGTGTCTTGCCCAAGGACACAACGGGTTTCAAACTGGAGTTCCCCAACGCCCCCTTGATCTGATGATCAAACGCACAACCCACTGTGTCACCCCGCCCGATGTCACATAAAGGCCCTGACACACCAAGCCGATTTCGGCCATCGATAGATATCTGGCCGTCGATGAGCGTCGTGTCTCCTTACTCAGATTGGTGTGTCCCGCACCGTCGTGTCTTTTTGGCCGTGCCGACACCTTCCGTGGCCGATTCACCATGTTGAATCGGCCACGGTGGCTGTTGGCAAAATAAATCACTGATTGGCTGTTCAGCTTAGCAAATCAGTGCATGAGAAGAGAAACGGAAGTGAGGTACGCAAACAAACGATTAGGCACACACAGACGGCTATTATTTTTTATTTTCATCTCACCTGGATGCAAGAATTTATTTTACATCATGGCGATCTGGAATGAGGAAATCGAAGACCAACTCAGTTGCCACGTAATTTGCTGCCACACTTCCTTCAAGTATTTAACGGACAGGACCCTGGACGATGTGGCTAAAAACATTTTTTATTGTATTACTTACTATTTTTATCTTATTGTATTTTAGTCGATTGTTTACATTATGCAGTTCTACATTTGATAATAAACCACTTGTTACCGCTACTGCAAAATACAAAACTTTATTTCGTACCTTCATACTACAGCCATTAGATAACACAACATTAGAATGAGGATAAAATTAGCTATACTACAATAAAAGTCAGAAGATACAGATGTACATGATGATACATAATTTGCCTGTCAGTGTTATGATGTTGTATATTAATATAATCTTGGATTATAATTACTGATGCATTGAATGTGGTAGCAGCAGTACTTTAAGGTTGCCAGCCACAATGCTTAAATAGTTTCTTTCTGCTTCAGAGAGCTGAAGTTTGTATATATCACGCAGTCTGTCTTCCGGTTGTTGCCTCTTTTGAATGACAAATACACACTACCGCCGCCTGCTGGCAAGGAGAGTTATTGCCACTCATGCATGCACAGTGCGTACGTGCTACTTGGCCGTCGGCTGAAGTCTTTGCGGTGTGTTCCAGTGCGACCTTTTGGCCAAGAAGCAGGAGACGTGAGGCGATACAATCGGGTCGTGTTCTTTGGTGTCAGTTTGGTGTGTCAGGGCCTTAAGTCCCTGAAAAGAGTCTCTTCACCCAGGGTTTGAGATCTAGCAAAGGTGCCTAATTTCTCACAAGCCAATCAGATCAGACTTGTTTTCATCAGGAGGTGGTCTTAAAGAGACAGGCACCAAAATGTAGCGTTTTGGACAAAGGGTGAATACAGCTATATTCAGGAGGACAGTATGAGAAAAAAACATTTTCTTTTTCCATCATTAAAGTTTTTAAACATGTCCAAGTAGAAACCCAAAATATAATCATAAAACTTAAAATGAGTATGATATGTCCCCTTTAAAGATGGGGTAGGTAATTCACTTCAGAAAAACCCTTTTTGTTATTTTCCATGGAATGCTCTTAACATCCCAAAAGCATTGAATATCTTAAGTGCTTTGGCAACAAATACATAAAAAAATGTCATCTGTGGAAGCCGTGGCGCTGTAAAAAGCAAACCAATCATTTTAGCCGGCCCGGCTAAAATAACTGGATGGCCTACCTGCCTGTCAGCCTTCCATCTGTGCACAAACTTATCTCGTGCCCTCATTGGTCATGTGCGCGTTCGTGTGTGTTGGAGGAGGGGCTCTGTAAGGAAGTCTGAAGGAAGAGGCAGATTTTTTTCGGCTGCGTACTTTCAAATTCTAGCGCACTCGAGCTGGTTTCTCCATTCTTACCTACCCTACCTTTAAGTAAGTGTACACAAGTATACAAATCTATATATACTTAAAGTAGATAAAGATGCTTATTCAGATTTGTTTCTGACAGTTGATCAATGGGGACTGTCCACGACACTATAAACCAATAAACTTAACTAAACTGATAGCTGTTAACTAGGGGTGTAACGGTTCACAGAAGTCACGGTTCGGTTCGTACCTCGGTTTGGGGGTCACGGTTCGGTACGGGTTCGGTACAACAAGAAAAAGCAAAAAAAAGTCCCAAATGCATAATTCCAGGTTTGTTGTTATTTATTTTTTGAACAGTAGTGCAATTCAGTTTAAAAATAAGGAACTCTGACATTTTGAATAATTAACTGTATTAAACAGTTAAAAACAAACCACAAACAGTACCATACACACTCAGATGGCCATATTATCTATAATCATGGCTGATGTCAAACAAAAAGGTTTCATCAAGCTGTAAAACTAAAAAGAATGTCTTTAAAATATTACATCATCAATAATAAGAAAGTGTTTCAAGAGCGCATAGTCGTTGACAGTGACGAGCCGTCAGGGCCCTCTAGGCCCTCTGTGAGGGCCTAAGATATTCTACAAAATAATATTTAAAAACATTACAAAAAAAAAAAATTATATATTTTTTTAGTTATATTTTTCATTAGTTTTACCAAAATAACTTGATTTAATTGTATTTAAAATAACATTTCCAAAGAATTAAATCCTTTGAATCTGCCTATTCAGTTTCTGTTGGAATGTGAAGGGTTAAATGAAAGAAGCTCGTCTCTGCGAGTCTGTGAAGAGAGGAGCTGTTGGACGTCCAGGCGGTCCAGCTATGAATTCACAGAGGGCCCCGCTATAGTAACTGAACGAGAGAGTAATGTCAAATGACAGTACAATTGACCAATCATATCTTTCCTCTAAATGGGTGGGTGTTATTATCGCGGACTTTATGACAAGTTCCACCCGCTGTGAAACTTTTCTTGTTTCCATAGCAACAACAACTTCCTGTCAACAGCGTTAACTCGCCTTCAAAATAAAAGCATGTCAAATTACACATAAGACATACAACTGCAACAAAAGTAACAAACACAATGCAATATCCTTTTCAATTTCAAAGAACACAAATAGGGTTATTTACAGGTGTTGTTTTGTGTGGTAGAGGGTCGCTTTCATTGATGCGTTTTGCACCCCGGGCCGTTGTTTTGATATTCCGCTGAAGTATACGCTGTGACGTAATAACTCGAGGGAAGGGGTGGGGGTCAGAGTAAGCCCCCAGGAAGTGCGCCGGAGTCTGTTGAGAATATTCGTGCTGGCCAAACGGCGGTACTACACTTCCTTTGGGTTGCTGGGCCCGGAAACACTTTTTCCTATTGACTTACATGGGGAAAGAGTGGTCTGTAGCTCGTTGGATAATTTTTTTTAAACTAAATAAACAACCCAGTATGAACACTTGTATAGCCCTTATTAAAAAAATTGGTACCTCAAGTTGTAAAAATGTGCTAATAATGTTATTCTGAGAGTTATTTCCCTCTGCATTATGAACGCGCATCTAACTCACGGGACCGCGCCGCCCGGCACGTTCAAGTTACGTGTTCAGCACATGGTTCAGCACTACATGAGTTTCTCTTTACCCATGGATGCACAATAAGAACGGACCCATATCGCCTTACTGCCATCCCACGGAGCTGTAATAATGGATATATTGCACGTGTTTGCTGTAATTCATCATTTGTAAAATATTATACTACATGGGCTGTATGATGTAAATCTTGTACCGTAAATGTTGTATTAAATAAAGTTAATATTACCGACGTAGATTAACGTCCCTGTAGCTTATTATTGCACTAAGAAGCTTATTGCACTGTATATATATATATATATATATGCACAGTGCAATAATTATTTCATGCTAAATGAAGCTCTGTTGCTTGGATGTCACTAGATCCTGTTACAGTGTAATATAAGTACATAACGATTTATGAGAACATTAGCATAATTACTAGCTAGCCGCTAGCTGCTAACTGCCGCCTTGTTAATATCAAATCCATCATAATAACATCCATTACCATGCTGTAATGAACGCACGGTGCTGTTACGTGTACGCAAATTGACGTGCTTGATGTGAACGAGCATTTTGGTTAAAGTTGCGCATGCTCTATGAGTGCACATACGGGTACTTCTCAGGCATGCCGGGTAATCTGTGACGTTTCACTCTCTCAAAAGTTGGGCCATTTTATCATCATGCGCTAATGAGCAACTCTCATAGGAATGAATGAGGCCCTGCCTCCCACGCTGTATCCAGTTCTTATTATACATCCATGGGTCAGAGGGCCTAGGTATAAAAGTCACGGCTCGCCACTGGTCGTTGAAAAACATATGCCAAAAGCTTCCATTATTTATTTTTGGTCTCACGGCTTTCATGTCTATTGGTTTATTAAAAACAGCGGGGATAAGCTGTTGAACTGCTGCTGTCTTTTGCCGGGCTCCGGTGATTGGCAAATCTGGGTGATGCCTTCTGATATGATTTAGCATGTTTGGCGTGTGTTTCCATTAGCATACTGCACTGCTATCGAACAACGCCGACACACCGTCCTCGTCCGATCCACCACTCGCACACTTCATCGTTATTTAGTCCGCAGGGAACCCGAAATGTTCCCACACAGCTGATTTAAAAGAAGCAGGTGGGTTCTAGCTTCTGTGTGTTATCTGAAATCGCCATACTAACTTTTCTTCTTCTTGTATTTTGTTCGTTTTGTTCGTTTTGTTGTTGTGTTTCTTCTTGTTCTTCATTTGTTGTTTAAGGGCGGCTGACAAACAGCTTTTAGGCGCAATACCGCCCCCTGGATTATAAGTAGTGTAGTGGATACTGCCCTGAATGACAGACTTTTTTCCCACTCGAAAAAGTGACTGCATGTGCCGAACCGTGACGTCCGAACCGTGAGGGTACGGGACAAATACGGATACCGTTACACCCCTACTGTTAACACATTATTAATCCACACTAATAGAGTGGTGAAGGATTAAGACTTAAAACCCAGACATGAGTTAGCATTTTACCACTTCCTGTCCCCTTGCCGCATCACAGACTGAGTGGTGTTAATATGTGAGGATTATCCTGCTGAACAAAATGTGTCTTTGCCACAGATTTTATAATCCAAAATCTAATGAAAAAATACCAATGTTTGTTTTCGAGGGAACCCTTTTGATGCTAACTTCTGGGTCGGCCTATAAAAAGATGTCATCACTGCACCACTCTATTAGTGTTGCTGTGGTGTAAATGCCTAACAAGCCGCCCAGCTGCAATGATAACCAGATGTACTAACAGATTATATCCATAAAATATGGCCAGCTGCAGTATACCAGGCAACTGCGTCCCTAGTGCACCTGTCGGGGAGAACAATCAGCCCCACAATGTTGCGTGTATTGTTGTGGCTTTCGGGAGTGTCAGACCACCATAGTTAAGGTAGTATAATGCGTCAGCTTTGTTTGACGTTCAAAGATTTCCAGTTAGATGCCACGTTAGCTTTCACATTAAATGCATCACCCATGTTTGTGGCTCGAGGCTTTTACAATATGCAGCCAGCATTCTTTATATTAAACTACATCACGTCTTTGACATTTTAACATGCCACTTAAATTTATTATCCAAACAGGTGTGTCTCAGACTTCCAGTTGTGAGTTCTACGTCTATATATGCTTTACTGCTTATGACTTGCCTGGCTGCAAGTTGGAACAAATCACGATACCTTTCATCGTCTTCTGCGTGTCCTCCAGGGTTAGAGGTGCCCTGCATCAACGGCAAGCCTTCAGACACTCCCTCATCCATCGACCCTGGAGAGAGGAAGAAAGGAGTGAGTCATATGGCAGCAGCTCTACTGACTACAGGATAAGGTCTAGACTAGAGCATGTTGGATGGGGTTAGTGCAGTTTCCAATTAACTGTGCTATTCAACAGATTAGGAAAAACATGCAAGTCTTTCAAGTTCCTTTTTTATTTATGGTAGGGCAAAACAGTTTTATCAAACAGCATTTGGGCCACCGGGCAATAAAGCTTTCCCCTGAGATAAATACAAATAAAACACACTAGTTGATGAGGCATGCTCAGGACAGGGAGATAAAGCAACAGCATTGTTCTTGGTTTGCAGGTAGGAACTTGTGATCCTCTGTATAATTTATAAAAATATAATTAATGTTATTTATTTCTAACATAATCCTTGGATGGTTTGGATGCTTGCTATATAACAGCATACTTGGACAAGCAACATTGTTTACACAGATTTTCATATTTCTAACAAACCTGTTGTTCACTATACATTTTAAAGAAGACATATTCTGCACTTTTTCAGGTTTATTTTTGTATTTTGTGACTCTACTCTACTGTGACATGTTTCTATGCTTTAATGTTCAAAAAAGGTCTTTATTTTCCTCATACTGCCTGTGCTGCAGCACCTCTTTTCACCCTCTGTCTGAAGCCAGAGCCCAGTCTGCTCTGATTGGTTAGCTGGCTCTGTTGTGATTGGTCAACCGCTTAGAGATGTCCCTTCTCTTAGCCTATCACATACAATGTGTTGGAGCACTAATAGATGCATGAGTGTTACTTAGTGATGTCACTTTGTTACGAAAGTAAACAAAAGATTCCAATAGAAGTGTTTCAGGCAAGGGGGGGGAGAGTGTATGAGAGAAACTCTAGCTTTGGCAGATCATTTACATGGACCAAAACCTATATAAACACACTAAAGGAAAGGAACAAAATCCAACAACATCATAGGGCCTCTTTAATATAAAGGCTGTCAATCATGAATGGGGATTTTTCCTGTTGCCCCACAAAATGAGATAATAACACCCCTTTGGAGGGTTGGTAGGTCCCATGTCATGCTTTTCCGGTTATTACCCGTCCCCTTGTGTGTTTTGAAGGTTTGTATGCATGTAAACGGTCTGCAGAGTCAAAACCCTCAAAGTACACCCTGTAGCGAGTAAACGTCTAACACAGAAAATACCTCCCCAAAACGCCTCGTTGGAGATACGTCATTGTCCATTGTTTACTTCCTGGGTATCGTGACGTTGGAATGGCCAGTAGCTGCGCCCAGAGCTATGACGCGATACGGTCATGTGGTACCCGGAACCAAATGGACCAATCCGTGGAGCCGTTACATCCGCGGAGCCGTTACGTTAAGCCCCCGCTGATTGGTCCAAATTGACCAATCCACGGACTTCCTCACACACACACTCAGTGCAGGCAGCTCTGCTGATTTCTCCTCCCTGGCTGCAGGCTGATAACAGACAGTTGGGATCGCGGCAAAATTCTCTCTGCAGACCCATTCTCACTGCGTTTATCAACCTTTTTCTTACTCAATATCAAGCCACACTTATTGTTTTTACTTCGGCTGTGACTTTGTGTGTGCTCAGGATGAGTTTCGCTGTGTATCGCTAAACAAGGAAACCACACCTCCACGGAGCTCAGCGCGATTCCCAACGTGCCGACCAATCAGAGCACACTGTGCTCACAGGGAGCGAAGTCACGCCCATCTACTTCCGGTCCATGGGACCTTATTTTGGAAAAATAATGTATTGAAGTCAATGGAGAGAGAAAACGTATCTTTCGATCCCGTTTGAATTGTGCCATGAATTACACATATGATGTTTGTCAATCTTAAAAAATCATTTCTGTGTCAAAAAAGTCACAGTTTGTCGTAAAACTGTTTAAATATAAGACTATGAAAAATACGCAACTAGAAAGACTACAAATCCCAGAGTGATGTCATAGCTGTTTTCCTCCACTAAGAGATAGATTATATCTATATGGCGCTGATCTTAGCTATCTATATGGTGCTGGCTAAGATAAGATAATGTAGTGGCAATTTCTTATGTTACCTTATATGGTAAAACCAAATGCTTCTAAAAGCATTGTCTAACACTACTTTACCATTTCCTGATATGTGCTGTTTTCTGTGCATACTCTAATGAGGGTTATTATTCTCAATTGCTTCAAGGCCACAGAGCTGATTTGGCAGACTATGTTGAAACTACTCCTCTTCACACAAAGTTTGAACTTCCATATTCTGATAACCGTTATACTTTCTACAGCTCAAGAACACAGGTGTCTAATAACAATATGAGACATCCGTGTGAAAGCAGATTTCTGAGGCGTTCCGCCTAGCTACACAAAACTCTGTCTGCCCGCCCTATCTTGTATATAAGCTTTGCTATTCTGTGACTATTGCGCACACTCCTGCAGACTATCCTATACTCTGTGAGACCTGTGCCTTCGAGGCGCCTCGAAAGAACCAGAAAGACAACTCTGTTTGTTTCACCAGTTTATTGATTGATCATTCTAATTGTATATCTCCACAGTATTGACTAGGTAAAAGATTTCCATAACAGATTGCCGTTGTCGGCAGGATCTCTGCAAGTTCGATTGGGGACACCTACGGATTGCTGGTGGTCGCTCCGGGATCCTCGGATTCTCCTCTACCTCGACACAAAACGTACGGGACAAGAGGACCAGCGCCGGGGTGAAACCGATTGACTTCACGAGATCCAACGAACTCAAAAGGCCTTCAATGCTCGGTGAGATGTACAATTTCTAATTGTTTAAAAGTAAAACATAATTAACCTCCATGACATTTATTAGGTGGGCTGCTCAAAAGTAGGATATTTGGTATATCCGTAGGATATTTGGTATATCCGTCGTAAAAGGTTTTACGATCAGTTTTTGTGTGATTTGTACTGAGGAACAAATATCACATCACCGACGGGTGAAAAATAGTGTTTTGGTAACATGGGGTGTTTTGGTAACACTTAAAGACTTTCTCCATGGGGACAAAGCAGAGTAGGGGGGCAGGCCAACCTCCTGAGGGCCCAATTGTAGATGTCATGCGAGCAAAATATGGTGAAGACAGCTTATCAGAGTTGGAAATATGGACGGAAATGTTCGGATTTCCAAAGGGAGGCTCTTTGAGTAACTTAAAAATCAAAGACCTAAAGGATAAATTATAAGAGTGTGAAGATGGAATGAAAAAGAAGAGTAAAATTAAAGTAAAGGACTTAGAAAAGCTGGACACTCACAGAAAGTGTTTAAAATAGTGGGAGGATGAAGCAGAATGCCGTGAAAGGAGGCAGTTGGCCTCGGCAATAAAGAAAATATTAACTTTTTCTTCTGGACGTGTTTCATTGTGGTGATAGTGAGGTAGTCAATCGTTTTGTTGACAAGACAGTAGTGACGGCCATCTTGGTGAGGTGTGTTGTAATGCGAGACCGGAGATGTAGTTCATTAAGCGTTTCACACAAACAAATGTGTTACTTCACAGTTTTACGACACTTTATTTTTATTTATTTGCAAAATTATCTTTTAAATTGACAAACATCATATGTGTAATTCGTGGCACAATTCAAACGGGATCGAAAGATAATCTTTCTCTCTCTATTGACTTCAATACATACTTTTTCCGAAATAAGGTCCCATGGAGCTCCCCCCGGAAGGGGAGGGACTTCGTCTCTCTATAGAGTGGCGAAGTCACGCCCATCTACTTCCGGTCCATGTGACCTTGGTTGCGGTCGGATAGTTTAAAAATGAGCTCCTAAATTCTAACCCTATCTCCTATTCCTTGACATCCGAGTGAAACGTCACGGGGTTAAGGGATAGTGGATAGGAGAATTCAAAAGGACTTAGGAGAAGAGACCGCGGTACTTTAGAGAATCCGAATGCACTTTCACTATCCGACGTGTTTATGATGCGCCAGCGGACGTCATGAATGTGCGTCTGCTGCTGTGGGGAAACTATGGAAACTACAGTTTTCTATACAGCGGACTACAACATGGATGTTTAAAAAGAACGAGGGACTACTGTAAACTCATCTAGAGACTCTGCACCGTGCTCTGATGCTGTTGCTTTATGCTTTATGAACGGGGACAACAGAGAAACATATTCTTCAGGACCAAAGTTGGAATTGAAATAAAAAATGAAAGTGAAACTTATGCTCGTCACCCTCTCCCTCCGGTCCACATTAATACAAATGATCCCAATACGTATGATTGTATGAAAATATCTTAAAATCAATACAAATGTATTTATTATAAACGTTAGTCCTTAACATCTATCACTGTGTACATCACCATTCAAACATCTTTTAAAAGTTGAACAACCCCACACAGCTCAGTGAAATGTTGACTTTATTTGATCATTTCAGTAAAAACTAACGTTCATATTTATTTCTCTTTTTGATTATAATACTGATGAACGTTCAGAAAAAAGCACTTTGGCAACTTACCACATACGTTTTAAAAAGCTTAATAAGCACCGTAACTTTCATGATATAATTTCTCCGTCATAATCGTTTGTTTCCGTGAACGGCCGACTGTTGTGTGACGGCAAATGCTGCGGCTGCAAGGCATTGTGGGGCAGCATTTTCTCCTCTCCTTTCGGTTAGGGAGGTCCAGTGGTTCCTAAGCTAAAGGAGGTTATAAAGGAAGTTTGAAACCTCCTTTCCTTTCATTTGGAGAATTGGAACGGCACTTATCATGGCTGCCACTGAGGGACTTCCGGGTAATTTCACTCCGTTAGGAAGGTTCCTAAGCTAAATGGACTCTTCGACTTCAGCCCTTATTTAGGAAAAAAGTCCCATGGACCGGAGGTAGATGGGCGTGACTTCGCCACTCTATTGGAGCTACAACGAGCCGTTAAAGGCAGAGAGTGAAATTCAGTGAATACACGTAGTTTACAGAGATGCTGTTTGAGAAACCAATGTGAGTTTGGAAAATTGCACAATATAAATATATTCTAGTAGACCTCAACAATGGAATTATGATCAGTGGAAATGGCCATGACATGGGACCTTTAGTCGGACATGCTAAAAATTACAGCTCATAAATATAGACAAACAGTGCTGAAATTACAAAATGTCTGTCTTGGTTTTGGAGAGGCCTAAACATACACTTCCCTACAAACTCCTAATATTTAAAAAGGAGAACAAGACAAATCCAAAGTGTGTTTAATTCTGCTAAGACAAATCCGCCAATTAGGGAGGTCAATTAAAGAAATGCTGTGGATATTTCAGGTAAGGAGGACAGCCCTACCTATAGAAGAAGACTGTGGACTGATGAGGAGCTCCTCCTGGACCTGTTCACTCCCTGGCACCGTCTGCTGGTCACTCAGCGAGCTCTGGGAGGCGCTGACCGCCTGCGAAGACGCTTCTTGGACCTCTTCATCACTGAGTCGCTCCACTTTCACCCTCACATTTACATCCTCTGCCGGCATTGGTGACGACACCACCTTGGAGCTTTCACACGTGAGGAAGTCGCTGAGCCGCCGGCCAACCACCACCCCTGACGTCTCCGCGGTGCCCTGATCCAAACAACGAGGGCTCTCGGGGAGCTTTGATTTGTCCGAGTGGAACCTGCGGTCGATACCGAAGGGGAAAGTCCATGGGAAGGCCAGAGAGGACTCCACAGGCTGCGCAGTGCTGTCTGAGAATGACAGGGAAGGGTTGGGTATCTGAGGGGAGGTGTTGACCATCTGCGTAGTGCATTTGAGCGGACTCTCAGGCGATGCCATTGTCACAAAGCTTTTACGTTTCCGTCGCGATTCGCGGCATATAGGAACGTTTCTCTCCATCACGCTGCAGTCGGACGAAACAGGCGACACGCTGCCGTCCAGTGGCGTGAGCGCACAGTTCGATGAGGCGCTCTCCGGTGCCGATTCGTGCGGTTTATCTGCCATAATGTTGTTATTATTACTGTTGTTACTCGCCGTCCACAGAATGCTAGACTTCATGAACTCTGAACATGTGCTTGCAACGGCGAACATCTGCATGTAACTCGCAGCTGCCAAGACGTCGATGATATTCTCTGTGCTAATAGAGAGCGTAGACGTGTATGCATATTCCAACAGAGGAGCGAAGCCACTGACGGTCACGTGATGAAGATCCAAAACAAACTTGTCCTCCTCCTCGGGCCGGCCCACCAGTTTTGAGCGGAAGAATTCACTGCAGCAGACGAGGACCACTTTGTGGGCCAGGAAGAGCTTGTCTTGGACCCGAATGGTGACATCACATAAGTGACCTTGGTTGCGTAGAGCATTGAGCTTCTCAAGCATCTCCTGGCTGTGGGAGGTGGAGCTGTGGGTGAAAGTTTTCACCCCCATGTCAGAGTCAGTTTATGACCGTGTACAGGAAATACGTCCTGCAGAGAGATGGGAAAAGAAACAAAAGAACATTTAAAATAAGACAAAACCATATGAGCTGTACCTCAGGAGAACTATTCTTGTAGGAAAACAAAACATTTGGCTGTTTGGACAAAAACTTTTTTTATTAAGCTTTGTGTAGTATTTTACATGATTACTGTTTTTACATAGTAATAGCATGTATTGTGAATACCTAACTAAACAAATTAAAACTCTTGTGGTTTAAGAACCAAGTGTCAAATGACAGATATCACAGGGGACTCTCACTAAACTCCACCATTAGAAATCAATAAAGACTAAATGAATTGTTAAATCCCACACTACAAAACACCAGCACCATGGTAAAGATGGGATTAATTAAAGCCCACCACATTGTGGAAGGCAGTGGGTATCAGTAGAGAAAAATACTAAGGTTCCCTCTGAGGGAAAGGGGGGGTGAAAGCAGGGTAGGGAGCACGGAGGAAAAAATGCAAAGTTATGTAACAACAATCAAAGCAGATGCGCAGAGATGTGAGCCAGACCCATGTGGAGGCCAGTGCACTACAGGATGCTCAGCAGCTGTCTGTGAGACATGTGGATTCTCTGAGGCATGAGATTTTCCATCAAACAAAAGCTCAAGTGAAGGGGCTCTCGCAGGGAGAGCGCACTCCTCTTTATACACACACACACACACACACACTCTTGGGCTATGTTGGCCCAGTAAAGGCAAAGTGAATTATAGACCAGGGCTGCGGAGGTGCAACAGGACCACGAAACTGGGCTTGGAGAAAAAAAACTTAATTTCCACTATGGGGGTTTCTAAAGGATAACATATCTCCTCTAGGAGGATTATTTAGCTCCATGATCTCTATTAAGTTATTCCTGACCAGAAATAATGTGGAGTATTTGAGCAATGATTCATACAAATACAACATGATATGAATTACAACTTGAAAAGAGGATACATAACAGTATTCTACTAAAGGGAATAAAACTGTGCAGTGTACAAGAAAACAATTATAATGTTGCTTTATCTTTTACAAAAAAAATAGTGGTTATACTTTGGTCTTATGCCTAGTAACTTAAAGACAATTCAAAATGTTAAAAGGAAATGCTGTGGCTGACATATATAACCTTATAGCAACAAATCAATATTGATTATTTCGATATTGAGTTTCTTTAGGAAAATAAGAACCATCTTTTAGCTTCTCAAATAAGGATCTGTTGATTGTTTTGGTTTAACTTGAGTACTCACTTACATTGAACAAATGTACCTTGTTTTGTTTTCTTATTTAAAAAAACTAAAAATCTATTTTAAGGCATGACTGGAAATGAATGGCATTAGTTGTAAAAATGTTACATACGTATATATCAACAAACAACATAATTAAGAGACAGCAACAACAACAGTTAAAAAACTACTCTAATTTCATACACAAATAATCATGATGGTGAAATAGCAGAGGAGGCGTATCCTTCAACCTGGTACTTTTACTCTGTTTACATCAAGTACGCAAGCAAGTGACACCAAGCGCTAGGTTGAGACAAACTGCCGAGGGCTGCACACAAACGGCACAAAGATTGTTTAATGTATTTATGTTAGGCATGGGGCTAAGTGACTAGTAATGCTGTACAAACACGTTTGCAACAACAATCACAGTTTAGCAAACACTAGCTAAGTGTCAAGCTGTTACGTCAAGTCGGCCAGGAGACGAAAAGTGCATCCGGCTGTAACTATCAAAATAAAAGACAGGTGCCCACGCCAATTATTTTAGCTTAAAAATTATGTACTTAATATAATAAATACTACTGTTTATTTTCAATGAATTGATAAATCGATATAACCCTTACTATAGATACAACAGTGACGTTTTATAAAGGCGGAATAAATAAGAAGTCCATCAAACAACCTTTTATTTTTAAGGCGAATTAGCTACATTTCCGGTTTGACCGTGAATAACCATCGACGCAGACTCTCCACATTAGCTAACTACTCTTAGCTACGAAGCTATCCTAGCCGATACACACAGTATTATTATTTACCAACTTGGACATTATTAATGTGTACACAACAAAGTATCCGTATTAAAGTACACACCGCAGGGTTACAGTTATCTGACAGACAGCACGAAGGGGGTTTACCTTCTGGGATGAGGCCCTTGGTATCTGCTGGGCCTCGGGATGCAAAAGCTCAGCTGACAAAAAGCAGCGATGGTGGGAGACAGCGGTGCGCCCTGCCGCTTCGCTCCGGCCACTCACATTCCCTGCGCTTCTCAGGCAGTTGTCAGCCTGCCAGCCGCCAAACTTACATCTGAATTAACGCTCACAAGAATTAACATGACAACAGGCTAAAGTTAAAAGTTGTTGAGGTGCTGTTATCATTCCTTTGTGCTCCCCTGTCTTTTCTGCGCTCTATTTGTATCCCCACAATGCAACGCGCATCTCTCACGGTACTGTACAGTAACAGGAAGTCTCACATTAAGCAACATGTACAACTTAACTCAGGCACTGCTCAGACATTTGATAAAAATCACATTTATTCACACTTCTATGTACCTGGTAATCTCATCATAACATGCTCATATCATACACACTAACATATATTTCATTTTTAATTATATGTTTAAATGTATTGTAAAACATGGATGTATTGATGTTGTTTTCACTTTTCCATACAACCATTCTCTTCAGTAAGGTGAATTATATTAATTTGTAGGTGTCTATGACACTGTTACTGTGTAGCTATATGCTTCCTGGGGGAAACAAGTGATGATTGGATGATGTTAATTCCTCTTATTGTAATGTTTTAATGCCAGACATTAAGAATATTACTATTATTATGAATGCATTTCTCCATATTGATGAATCTCTGTGAAAACCCCAGGGACATTGATGGATATACATTTCTATTCCTGATAGATTTTGATATGTTATATTTAATATATTTGTTGGACTGTTGTCTGTAACCTCAATCATTTTGTATTTGAAAATGATTAAGGTTACAGACAACAGTCCAACAAATATATTAATTTGTAACTCATTTGGTCTTTAAATCTAATATGCTCCGCTAGCTGTGAAAGAATAAGACTGATATTAAATAGGATATTGTTACACATGAACCTGTTTCTGATTCTGATCTGATATATGTTACAGTATGTCACTGTTCATTCATGTTAAATGAAGGTTTCTCTCATTCCTCTGCTGCTGAGTATGCTTTTATGGCTGTCTTTATTTAAGATGCCTGAGCAGAGAAGTGATTCCCATGTCTGAGGATTTTACAGAAGATCTTAAGGTGTTTTAGTTGTAAAACCTGCAATTAAATACCTCGCCCAACTTTTATAAGCTGTTGACCCAACTCAAAGGATTCCAATAATCTGGCTTTCATTGGTGTGTTTAAGTGGCCAACAATGGGTTTAAAGAGTTCTCTGGAAAACATGGAAAACTTGAATATTTGTTTGCATGTAAAGGGTTATTTTGAAGTATGGCTCCTCCCAATATTAGCACATGTTTGTTGATATGTAACCACCAATCTGGAATCCCTGGAATCTTCAAGTAATCAAGTTTTTTTTGCACAAAAGAGAAAACAAAAAGTATCATAGAGAATACGCATCAGAAAAAGAGAATCACGTATTGACATAAATGTGTTTATTTGACCATTTTTATAGACAACAATCTCAAAGACAGTAGCATCTGCCCAAATTATATGTCCAAGGTAATAAAAAATACAAAAATAAATAGCTTAAAAAGGAAGCTGTAATAATAAAATAGTATGGTCCTTCACTGAAGGGATACAGTATAAGCCTAATACTCATTCTGTTTTGTTTTATAACATTATGTAAATTAACATCAGAATAAAAAATCTAATATACATACAAGAGTCTGAAAACATCTGTGAGTGTTTGCATATGATGCATTAACAAAAAAAAGTCTGGAAACGAATCAAAGATACTTTTCACATACACGATAGATAGTATGCTTACGACTTGGTAACTACACCTCCAAACAAACATTTGTAGCATGGCAAATTGTCTGTACCACTCAACACAATTGTAATCCTTGGAATAAAATTAAACTACAGGGCAGAGGGAATTTCTCTGTCATGGGTTTCTCATTATCAAGGCTAATTCACTTTACACAATGTGTAAAATCAAATTCTAACAATTGTAATACATTCTATACCTCTAGTTGGCATTGAAAAAATCTGTAGTCCTTAGTAGCACATTTTAAAGTCCAAAATAATCCTGTTTGAGTGTCACTGATTAGTATTCCTACAGTTCAACACACACAAAAACGCATTTCACAGAGGCTTAATACTCCAATGTATCAATCGTATACGTACCGGCCTCAATACAAGACAAACCCATCTCTTCAAAAGAGCCTTTGCCTAGACCTTTTTATCACCCTTTTATTTATTTTTGTATTGCTTTTTATTAATTCTACCGTGTTGTGTAATGTTTATTTATACTGTTCATGCTCACTACTTGTAGCACTTCGGGATTTGAAATCAAATATGAAGTGCTTTATAAATGGAACCCATTATTATTATTATTATTAAATGGCTCCTTTGAGCTTTGAAGGACTTTGAGTTCTGTGGAGGACAGTTGGAGATATATTTACACTTTGCTGGTGTTGGACAGCAGGTTTCATGCCATTGCTTTAGCCCCACAATAAATGAAAGCAAACTTAGAAAGACATATTGCAGATTATACCAGACTTCATCCAAAAAAGTTAGTTTTTTGTTTCTCTTTCTGGAGAAACTCACACACAGCACCTTCGTCTAACAACTATACATAGCATCACATGTACATCCTGAGGTAGATTTCCATTGTGTCTCAATAGTGGTGTCTAATGTCAACAAAACATGACAAAACAATATTCAGGTAAATTCCCATGATCTGACTAGATGCTACCAGTTAGTAATATGGACGGATTACAAGCACGGGACCCCCGGGCACAGACATGTATGGCTCTTTTGGTGGTCACTTTGTGTCAACTTGTGTCTCTTTGAAGTGGTTTCGGGTCTCTTTGTGTTTTTGATATGTCTCTTTGTGGCAATTTTGAGTGTCTGTAGTTGTTTTTGTCAGTTAGTGTTTGGTATATGTCTCCTTGTGGTTCTTTTGTGTCTTCTGGTTTATGTTATGTTTATCTTTGTGCTCATTTTGCTTCTGTTTGTGGTCACTTTGGTTTAATTGGTGGTATTTTTGTGTCAATATGCGGTCGTTTTTTGTCTCTGTGGTTGTTTGTGTCTCTTGGTATTTGTTTTGTGTTTCTTCTTCATCATTTTGCATCCCTTTGTGATATGTTTTGGGTGGTTTTAAGCCTACGGTTGTTTTGTGTTGTCATTGTGTGCCTTTTTGGTTGTTTGTCTGTGCCTGGAGAGCCCATCCAGTATTCCATCCATGGTTGGTAAATGCAGTCGGACCAATCAGGGAAAGTTCAGTATACTCATGTTCTTCATAAGCATTCTTGGTTGAGACAGTCCCCGGAGACTGGATCTGGGATTTTGTTCAGATCACACTTCTCTGACTCAACAATCTTCCCAGTGTAGTCTATGCACACAACGCTGCGGCGGCGCTCCCCCTGGCCACAAGTTCGTGAGCAGACGGACCAAGGCCCCATTTGCCAAATGGGGCATGGCACATCCCCACAGGGCCTGATGTCTACAGGCTTAAGGTCTCTGTCACAATGGCTGGAAAGGAAGCCTGCGTTGTCTCTGCATTCAACGTTCCTCCGGGACCATCCGGAGCCACAGCTCTTGGAGCACTCAGACCACTCCCCTAGCATCCAGTCAGGTACGCCAAACGGATGGATCATATGCAAAGACGGTGCAAAGGCCTTCCTCTCCTTTGATTTGTTGAAGCTCACATCTCTAGGGATGAAAAAGGTATATTTGACCTTGGGAGGGTTGTCGTCCCCTGCAGTGGCTAGGAGTTGGATGGTGATGGCCTCCTTCAGCTGCCTGAAGCTCTGTATCCTCTCCAGCGTGGTGGAGGAGCCGCTGTACTTCAGCACAGCGCCCAGCACAGGAATGTCCTGCTCCACCCTGGATACAGAGAAGTTACCGTTGAGGATGTAACCGCCACCCTCTCTCTTTACAGCCAGGTAATTCCCATCATGTTTGATTCCTCTGTGGCTCCGCTGTTTGATGTCAATGTTCGTAACGCCAACAGGAATTGTGACAATGTCGCTGTATCCATAGCTGGTGGAGAAAAGACAGAACTGGATTTAGATAGTTTACCCTCTTTTTTATCCTCCCTTAAATGAATAGTTCATTACTTGGGTCTGATAGCTATCTTCCCTAGACTCTTTGAAATGCTCAAAAATACGGCAACACCCATAAATCTAACTACTTTATGGAATTCCTTTTAGATTTTAGCAAATATTTTAACAAAGAGAGCTAGGCTAGCTGACCCCCATTTTTCAGTTTTGCGCTATGATAGCTAACCAACTGCTGGCTGTAGACTTTCATTTACCCAGAATGACCCTGATCAAAAGCCACAAACTGAAACCTGTTGGTCAAACAATAAAGTAATTCTGTATACTACTACTACGTGTTGCTGTAGCCTAACCTTTTGAGACTTTCCCCCTGCTCCATGCACCTTGGAAGTAGTTAAAGCAGTGCCAGAGATCCCTACTAAGCTATTAAAGTGGTAAGAATATTTTCTAATACTCAGGTCGTCAAAGCATTCAAGCTAAATAAATGTTAATAAATGCTTATTAGCAATCCTAGAAAGTGATTAGTATTGGTCCTCTGATGTATCTCTCAGAAATACGGAAAGTGTTTTTTCGATTTCATTATCAGGTGACTTTTGTATTGCTCTGTTTGTTTTGTATCCTAGCTTGCATCTATAAATATATACACTGAACAAAAATATAAATGCAACACTTTTGTTTTTGCTCCCATTTTTCATGAGATGAACTCAAAGATCTAAAACATTTTCTATTTACACAAAATAACCATTTCTCTCAAATATTGTTCACAAATCTGAAAAGATCTGTGATAGTGAGCACTTCTCCTTTGCCGAGATAATCCATCCCACCTCACAGGTGTGGCATATCAAGATGCTGATTAGACAGCATGATTATTGCACAGGTGTGCCTTAGGCTGGCCACAATAAAAGGCCACTCTGAAATGTTCAGTTGTATCACACAGCACAATGCCACAGATGTCGCAAGTTTTGAGGGAGCGTGCAATTGGCATGCTGACAGCAGGAATGTCCACCAGAGCTGTTGCCCTGTGAATTGAATGTTCATTTCTCTACCATAAGCCGTCTCCAAAGGCGTTTCAGAGAATTTGGCAGTACATCCAACCGGCCTCACAACCGCAGACCACGTGTAACCACACCAGCCCAGGACCTCCACATCCAGCATGTTCACCTCCAAGATCGTCTGAGACCAGCCACTCGGACAGCTGCTGCAACAATCGGTTTGCATAACCAAAGAATTTCTGCACAAACTGTCAGAAACCGTCTCATGGAAGCAAATCTGCATGCTCGTCGTCGTCATCGGGGTCTCGACCTGACTCCGGTTCGTCTTCGTAACCGACTTGAGTGGGCAAATGCTCACATTCGATGACGTCTGGCACGTTGGAGAGGTGTTCTCTTCACGGATGAATCCCGGTTTTCACTGTTCAGGGCAGATGGCAGACAGCGTGTGCGGCGTCGTGTGGGTGAGCGGTTTTCTGATGTCAATGTTGTGAATCGAGTGGCCCATGGTGGTGGTGGGGTTATGGTATGGGCAGGCGTATGTTATGGACGACGAACACAGGTGCATTTTATTGATGGCATTGTGAATGCACAGAGATACCGTGACGAGATCCTGAGGCCCATTGTTGTGCCATTCATCCACGACCATCACCTCATGTTGCAGCATGATAATGCTCGGCCCCATGTTGCAAGGATCTGTACACAATTCCTGGAGACTGAAAACATCCCAGTTCTTGCATGGCCAGCATACTCACCGGACATGTCACCCATTGAGCATGTTTGGGATGCTCTGGATCGGCGTATTCGACAGCGTGTTCCAGTTCCTGCCAATATCCAGCAACTTTGCACAGCCATTGAAGAGGAGTGGACCAACATTCCACAGGCCACAATCAACAACCTGATCAACTCTATGCGAAGGAGATGTGATGCACTGCGTGAGGCAAATGCTGGTCACACCAGATACTGACTGGTTTTCGGACCCCCCCAGACCCCCCCCAATAAAGCAAAACTGCACGTTTCAGAGTGGCCTTTTATTGTGGCCAGCCTGAGGCACACCTGTGCAATAATCATGCTGTCTAATCAGCATCTTGATATGCCACACCTGTGAGGTGGGATGGATTATCTCGGCAAAGGAGAAGTGCTCACTATCACAGATTTTTTCAGATTTGTGAACAATATTTGAGAGAAATGTTTATTTTGTGTATATAGAAAATGTTTTAGATCTTTGAGTTCATCTCATGAAAAATGGGAGCAAAAACAAAAGTGTTGCATTTATATTTTTGTTCAGTGTAGGTAGAGAAACTATTTGTTTTATTGGCCACTGGTTGTTGGCAGTGTAGGAATTTACGGTGTCTTCTCCATGTCCCCTAGGGGGCTCCGTAGGAATTTGATTGTTCTTCCTGGAAACCGGAGAATATAAAGAGAAAAATCATTTCCAGATTACATAAAGTAGACCATGTTTTTGAATCGGTTTGTTTGTTTGTTTTTCTGTCTGTCTATGCAGGGTTATGGAAAACTGCTGGCCTGCTTTCATAAATCATGGTGGAGGAGTGTATCATTTGCCAGGGAATAAATCAATAATTAATAATTAAGCAGATTCGGATCATTGTGTGCAAACAAGCAATATTTTTCTATCATTCTAACAGCCATTCTTTTTTTCCATGTATTTGTCCCTTTAAAATAACTGCTCTCATTGCTGCAAAACCTTTCCATCAAGATAAGCAAGAGGAAGCAGCGTTTTCGATGCTACAATCTTTCATCAGATTAGAGAATGTCAAAACTATAAACAGTCAAATATAGCATTGATTTTATTTAATTAAATCTGAATTATTTTGGTAGCTAGCTTTTTGTTCTGCTAGTGTGTTGCCCTTGTTTTTTCACTACAAAATGATAGGCAAAACCTTCTAAAAGCCTTTTTCACTCAAAAATGAAATCAATCTACACTGCATTTGTTATTACTTTCATTTTCATATACCAAGGATTTTCAGAGCACTTACGTTGCTTTGTTGTAGGAGCCTGTGATCTTTCGACAAGTGAGCCCACTCCCTCCACACACTCCACACTTATCCAATCTCTTGTTGGACCCAATCACTTGGTCGCAGCCGGCCTTCACACACTGGCCTTGGACACACACCGATGTGGTGTCAGGGCCACAGGTCGTCCCATCAATGACCTGCAGGAACGCAGCAAGTAGTGGTTGTTAATTATTTTAACAAAAGTCAAGCGTGTTCTAAATAGAAGTAAAAATGCATATGTTTGGGAAGTAGTGAGAATAGGACGACAAACATGAGACTTGGGATATACTGCACAGCAGGTTGTGTGACAGGTTGTTCTGATGTAGTTTTGATGTTGTTAGGCCACCCCTTGTTTACTTTAATTCATCAAAAAATAGGATGATGAATTGATAGGTCTGTTGAAAAGCTTTTAACAATGACTCTAACAGGTCCACAAAAAGAGAGATGTGGACTTGGGGTTATTGGTCAAACTCCTTTTCATAGGTCAAGATAATCTTGACTGAAAGAATAATTGTGTTCAAATAAGTCTTTGAATGGGGTTTTCGCTTGAGCTTCCACACAAATAATGCAAATGTCATAGTTATATTAACTCAGGAAAGGCCAGGTTTCCATGTGTCATGTGAAATAATTTGTCAGTGCAAAACAGATAATAACATTTCAGGTGATATCATATTATATCTGCATATATTTCTTTACTTTAGCAGAAATTAGTTGGCCACAGCATTTTGAAAACAATACAGTCGATCGGGACTGCGCGTCTCAGAAATCAGCCTTACTTTAGAGCTTTATTCAGTACACTTCTAGAGAAGCTTTACGGAGACCTTTGACAGCAATGGATTCCTTAGATTTGACAGTGTATTATTACATTGCTTAGTTGAATACTCAATTCTGGTGGGTGACATTTGGACATTCCAGGGGTTTGTTTAATATTCAGACCTCCACTAAGGAGGACGCTCTGACTAATGTGCAGTCATATCAATCCGCAGAAAGTATGGTCAATTTTACGTCAGTTGTGAACACTAAACATTAGTTTTCCTCCATCAGTGAATACCATGGAATACATTGTATTAATAGTATATTTGTGGAGAGCACAAAATGGAAAGAGGTTAGAGACCATCAACCTGTTGGTGTTCTTTTATTTATTTTCACTATAGCTTAAAAATGAGTTTGCTCCTGCTCTGATACTCACGATTATGTCCTTTAAGGATGGTTGTGTTCTCAATCAATTACAATACAAGCTTTTATGTCAGACTGAGTTCTAAGATATATATTTCACCATCGAATGTGAATATGTGAAAAGTATAATGGTTGCGTTTGAGCTGTGAGTGCATCTGCTGTACCTTGGGTTCAAACACCTTAAATTCACTGCTGCCCCTGGCCCTGCAGAACAGCTTGCATCTGTCTCTGGGAGAAACGCCGGCGTACTTTGGGATCCACTGTTTCATATTCCCATTGTAGTCCAGGTAGTTAGGGCTGTTGTACATATCACACTGCTCCTCTCTGAAACTCTTTCCTAAGGTAAAGGGGTAAAGATTAGTGGACAATACACTGAGGTCTACTATGGAAATGAAATCATTCAGATTCATAAAAAAACCTAATGTGCATTTAAGACAATTATACAAGATCATTTCAGTAAAAATAAGAATCACAAGAAGAAATATAAAGCATATCGTTTAAAAGGTAAAATGTAAATGTCACTATTAAAATGCTAAAAAATACTAAAAGTGTCAAAAGAAATGAATCAGTAACCTATTTATAATGAATTGATCCATGAGACGACATCTCTACAGAAAGGACGTGAATTGATTCTACACAAGAATGCATGATCTTTATCATTTCATTATTATTGCATGTTTCCATGGTTTTATTGTATTTGTCTACCTTGTCAAAAAGGTCTGGTTAAACCATTAAATATTTGTCAAGACATATTTGTTTACCTCCTTCAAGAAGGTTATGTTTTCAGCTTTGTTTGTTTCTCTCTCTGTCAGCAAGATTATAGAAAAAAACTAGTGGAGGACAATTCATGAAATCTGTTGGGAGGATATAGCCTGTTAAATTATACAGTGGATCTGAGTATTTTTCACTTTCATTAACATTGCAAAATAGGAAATAGGTCTGCACACTACATTTGCCCTTGTAGTTATTATATTGAATATATGATATGTATATGTAAAACCCATCCATTTTGATTGTAACTTGCCAAAACAAAAAGGGGAAAAAATGCACCAAAAAAGTTACATTACATGTCACTTGTTAGACGCTTTCATCCAAAGCGACTAACATACTCAATCCCCACAGGAGCAATTTGGGCTGAAGTGTCTCAGGGACACACCGACATGCTGACTGCAGTGGGGTTTGAACCTGTGCTCCCCTGATCTGAACACCAACGCACTAATCTACTGCGCCACACACCTCCCGATGGAAAACTTTAGGCCTTGAAACTAATTCACCAGCATTTAAAACGGTATGACTTCCTTGAAGTGAATATCTGCACGTTCCTTGTTGTTTGGAGTTTGAATCTTTATGGTTTTTACACTTTGTAAGTCACTTGTAAGTCGCTTTGGATCAAATGTAATGTAATGGAGTGTATAGAATCATTCAGCATGCTTGAAGCTTTATTTTAAAAACCTGCCTATTGCTTATTCTCACCTTCGTCTTCGTCACAGGGCTGCGTGTTGCAGGACTGGTACCGAACCCTCTGTCCCTCACAGTACTTCCCTCCGTTCTGCGGGACAGGTTCAGTGCACTCCCTGTGGGAGAACTCCACCCCCCCTCCACACGTCCTGGAGCACTGCTGCCACGGTCCCCACAAACTCCAGCCGCCGTCCACAGCCACCTGCGGTACAACACAGCGAGGGAAGAGGAGGGAAAAGAGCAGTCAGAGTAGGTGGTTAGAGCTCAGTGCCAAAGGCAATCTCAGCTGTGTAGCCTTAACCACAGTCTGGGCTTCTGGGTTTGAGGCCGCACAGTGTGCTGGCGTGCCGCGACTCCAGGCTAAATCTGTGTTGAAGTTCGGCACGCGCATGCTGTCTGCCTCTGCCCGCATTCCTGCCACATGTGTCACTCACCACTAGTGGAACCTGCCATGCTGCAGCTTTGGAAGGCATCATTGAAAGTGTGTGTGCATATGTGTATGTGTTTGAAGAGTTAGTGTCCTTTTCCAGCAGTTTATGAGTTTTGACCAGCTAACATCCCAACTGCCAGCACGTCTGGGTTGATAAACAGATGTATGATCATAACACAAGGAGCAGATATCAAGGTGAGCAAGGTAAAATGAAACACTGAGACTTATACATGTTCTTTTAGGAAATAAAAACAGACATTATGAAGCAACTTGGTTTAAACGTACTGAATTCCAAGTAAGTATATTCATAAACAGTCACTTGTGCTTTTCATTTCAGTCACTTGTGCTTTTCATTTATGTAAAACTACTTAAAACTGCTACTTCTGTGTCTTTGAATTGCGACAGCCAGGCTAACTAGGATGTTTTTTCCCCCTAAAACAACCGATTTCCAATATAAATGTTGTTTTGCGTTGGTGAATAACAATCCTTTCATGGTTGGTTTGGTGCTTTACATTGCATTAAGTTTTAGATGTAAAATGTTTCCTTAGCACAAAAAGGACATCTTCTTATCATTCACTACATCATGTAGGTTGCAAGTTCATTTAGACTATTTCCAGGATTTCTGTTGCAGAACAGAGGGTCAAACCTATTACATTTGTCAAAAATAATTCTGTATCAAAAACCCAATGTGAAAACTTAAAACATTGAAAACCTGTATTTGTTGTCTAAAAAGACTGTCTAAAAATAATCCAACAGGTTTTTGCCAACAAATTTGGTAACTTTTTTGTAAAATACAGTGCACTTCAAAGGAAATTACTCATCTAAAAAAAAAAAGGACAATATTTTGGTATTAGAAGCGTTCTGGTTTCCCTTAGAATTCCATGTAGGCCTATAGGCCTATTGACCAATCACGGTTAAGCAGATTGAATACAGGTTTACAGTCTTCTCAAGAGGAATTAGCTTTGTATTAGCTTAGCTAATCGGTTGTAGACTTTGCCCATTGACAACTCAAACTTTATTCTAGCATCTTAAATTGATTATCTGACCTTAATCAATGACTGACACAGTCTTGGCTTGAATATCCTTTAAACAGACACCAGAACCTCCAAAATATTGGCTGTAGTTCCCTGAGTCATATCATTATCAGACTAAAAATAGCAGATGGTTTTAAAGTTGGTAGCCTACGTAACTAAAACACCGATTTGTACATTGTATTGAATGGCTATTACTGTATCTACAATTTAAGTCTAGAGGAAAATGATGAGGGCTAAAAGTTGGGATAACAGCACAAGAAGGAAGAAATTCAGAAGTCAGCTAACTTCTAAGTTTGCGAACATTAGCTAACAGCCACCATACCAGACCAACTAAAGCTGTAGCACCGAACCCCAGAGTGTGTTGAATTAAGCAAGGGAGAGTTTTATCGTTAATGACTTCAAAATGTGGAAGAACACAGAAGCAGACTTACCAAAGGCTGCATCACGTCCTGAGTGGGCATGCACTCTCCGTGGAGGCAGGACCCGTTGAGGCTGCAGGGGGTCCCGTCCGCCCAGGGCAAGCTGCCGTTCTTGGTGGAGCACTGCTGCGTCCCATCCTCCTGACACCACAGCTGGCTACAAATATCACTATCTGAGGAGTTGGGGCATTGGACAAACTCCTCTCCAAACATGTGCTGGCACTGCTGGTCCAGGCTGTACTTGAAGCCCGGCAGCTCGCTCGGTAACGGCATGGTACTCTTTGTTACATCCAGCAGGCAGTCCCCTATGGTCACAACACAAAGAAAAGAAACACTGCATGAGATTATAGTGTGGTTTATGGGGATTAAGGACTTTGGGTGGCATGACAACATTGGGAAATGATTCAGGGCCAAAATGGATAACGTCACTTTTATAGGCTTCCTAGGGTTTTGAATCTTGACATTTGGTAGCTATTTCAAATCAGAAAGCTTTCATTGTCCTCACATGATTCTCTGTTACATTCAATAAACTTTTGTTTCTTGAGTGTTCAATGACGTCCGCAGTTTGGAATGAACACTCTTAGCCACACACTTTTTTTATTCAAACTGATAAAGAACATATTTTGCTGACACCAGCTGTTGCTTTTGGCCGAGGAGGTGAAGAACAGGAAGAAGTCCGTTGCATGACTCATAGGGAAAGAAGGTTCACTGATAGGTCTAGCAAGGATACAAACAAATGTAACATACACAACCAGGGATGGAGAGAGGGAAGCTACATTAAGAAACAGAAAGGGAGTTAGGAGAAGGGGATGTGGAAATCGAGGGCACGATAAACTATCCCTACAACCCATCATTTGAGGGGAGCGACATGTTTGCACAAGAAAGCCATAGTTATAGCAGAAGAGGAATAACATTATGTTTTATTCCTCTCGGAATCAGCCCTATTAAGAGAGTCAGTATTGTGAAAGAGACGTCCATACTGGCTGCTTAGCTTCTGATGTAATCAGTGTGTAATTTCTAGTATGCTGGGGAAAAAAACTCAAATATTTCTTACCATGTCCATTGTCAAAGAACTCTGTGATGTAGAGAGCGCTGCAGGGAGACCAAGGCGCGGTCTTGTTGAGGCTGACAAACAGAGGAGCCATCAGGTGATGACCTCCCAGATCTCCAAACAGCCTCTCACAGGTCTTGGAGTCATCATGAGGCATACTCAACACATGACCTGCAATGGTGATAATGGGAGACACAGTTTCACAGATGCACAGAAAAGTGGTTCTGAATGACTGTAAAATACTTTAAGGCCATATACCTAGCCTTAAATAATAAATGTAAGCTTACCGAGCTCGTGAGCAGCTGTGAAGGCAGCTTGCAGGCCGTTATCCTCGATAACTGAGCAGCTTCTCTTGGGATCGCACATCGTCCCAACATCGGCCACACCCAACGTGTCGCAGCTCTTCTGTCCGCAGATGTCCTTCAACACAAATAACACAGAAAAAACATTGAAACTGGAGCAAGAAAGGTCATATAGAAGAAACAAGATATATATATAATATATATATATATATATATATATATATATATATATATATACTAGGGCTGTCAAACGATTACAATTTGTAATCAGATTAATCACAGTTTAAAAATTAATTAATAATGATTAATCACCATTCAAACTATGTCCAAAATATGCCATTTATTTATGTATATTGTTGTGGAATGGAAAGATAAATGAAAGAAGGCGGATATATCCATTTAACATACAGTATCTATGTTTATTATAACATTTTTCTGCGTGTCAAACTGAAAGACAACCCACACACACCTATCAATCATCAAACCGTGGGGTTTTAATTCATTACGTGTTGATTTCTATCAACGGGGGAGTACTTCAGGAAAGTCGACAGAGGGGGGGGGGCGGCGGCGGCTAGTGGAGTACTTCGTGACCACAGAGTGTGAACGTTGTGATCAGCTGTTTTAGCGCAGTTCTCCAGTGAAGGGGGGGGGGGGGGAGTCTCCCTCCGCAGCCGGTTGGCGTAGTTTTGGCACAATTCCGTTGTACAGACCGACGTTAACAGCAGCCCTGTCTGTGCACACGGAGACCGACTCTGTCGTCCGGTGATCTAACCGCCTTCTGGAAAAGCTTCACAAGTACGCAAATGCGCTTTGTGACACAAGTGACGGTACGCATTTCAGATTACGCACATAACCTGCGTACCAGTTATGTGCACCCCTGTACTACAGCAAAAGTATTCTCCGTCGGGACTTCCTGCAACAACACCACGCCGTTATCAAAGATGTTCTATTGAGAAGACGATCACTACGTGACAAAAGTGTTCAAAACCGTGGCTACTGAAATCAATCTTACTAACTGCTGTCTGTGCAATTTACTCCGCGTGAGTTGGCAGACTTTATTTTGCTTACTTTAACATCATTTTTCATGGTGGGGCTAAGCCATTTCTTGGTATGGCTGTAGCCTACCCCAGCCATACGCTGGCGCTGCCACTGGTGGCACGTATGGGGCGGGCCATTCTGCACATGCGTTAAATGCGTTAAATATTTTAACGCAATTAATTCAAAAAATTAATTACCGCCGTTAACGCGATAATTTTGACAGCACTAATATATACATACTGTTCTTATTCATTGTTCATACTTATACCTATAAATATACATAGCCTACAACAAACAGAAAAACATATGGCTTAATATTATGAAGAATGAAGAAATAAAAATATTGCTGTCATTCTGCATAAAAATGATGACTTCTGTTTGTTGCAGGGAGAGAGTGACTTTCTGGGCGATGGGCCTTTGGAACGATGGGCATTGTTTTCAGAAAACAAGGGGATTTTGGAAAAATTTGACTATTAGGACATTTTCCAGACAATTGTGGTTTCGTAATATTGGGCCTTTGGAACAATGGGCAGTCCGCAGAAAGCCAGGATATATTAGGCAACCTTTAACAAATTCAGCCTGAGAGGATAGGTGTGTTATTGTTATCGTATTGCTATAAGTAACTCAGTAAGATGTCATAGACTACTCCACTGTTTGAGGTTACGTTGCAAAAACAGATTTGTATGCTTGACATTTCTTAAAACTGAAAATGTTTCTTTACCCATATTGTATTATGTCTTTTCAAGGTTACTGTCTAGAACAAATGTGTTTGCCAGAACGCTACTATAGGGCTTTTGCTATACATTGGCTATGTACACTTAGCACAGCAGTGGTTAGGATTAGGGTTGGACAATAATCTCCAGTGGCATACAGTATGTCAATTACAAACAGTATGTACTGTGAATGGTATCTGCCTGTGTACCATGAGTAACATACCATTTCTAAGTACCATCAGCCAGTAGAACCACAGCGGCATTGCAAAAATGAACAGTGACAAACATATCACTTAATGTAGAATAGACTTATGCTAATAGAACAAACATATCATGAGAGATGATGAGACACTTCTGTATTGGAACCAATTCAACAATGTAATTCATATCAGTGTAGGCCAGGGCATTTTCATGGTCAACCAGTGTAGCATTCACAAATATTGGCTCTAACCACTGTTCTAACCCTGAATAAGGACTATCTCCCTTAAAAGGAGTGCCCATTTGCTTAGAAACAGCTGGCAAAGTGAACTATCAAAGAGTAAAGACATTATTCTGTCAAATGTTAAATATATTAAGAGTATGGGCAGCCCTTTCATTGTTATTTTAAATATTCGGATGGCCGACCCTCATTGCTTATTTGTGTCCAGTTGTTTTTTCTGTCACTCTTTAAGAGACAAATCAAAAACATGATTGCTCAGTGTTTCCGTCATAAAAAAGCAAATAAATAAACTCAGCATGCAGCTATGACCTTAACTGTGGTTTATCAAAAATCCTTCCTTGCTCCATAAGACGCCTGGCTGTGTAGGACGAAGACGGACACGTCCATGGCCTTTGCCTCAGCCCAAAACCCACAAGGCACAACCCTCTGTGATTCAAAACACATCTGGACTTGGAGCTGCGTTTTGAACACTGCTCAGCGTCTGTTCGTACACCTTGTTCCACAATAGCATCGGTCACTCACAGACACAAAGTAAGATGTAGGGTCGAAGCACAAGCATTTACATTTGTATAGCTTTAGCAGACATATGTACATTTGCCGAATGCAGCATAAGACCACAAAAATGCACAATAATAACTGTTTCCACTGAATGCAACAGAGTGTGCAGTTTCACAACAGCCAGTATTAGCAGCAGCATTCTTACAGTGGGATATATATATATACTAAAGTTAGCTCATCCACAAGGGCCTTCCGTCCTCCACATTTCAAAGCACATCTCCGCTGAAATGGGAAAACCAACACAAACAGGGTTCATGTAAATGATGGCAACAAATCCAGCACAAGACTGCAGAAGCCCATATGTTCTATTCATCATTTGCTCGATCCCGGGTCAGATCTAATGTCTTTCAACCTGTCATCGAATCAAGCTGCATCCAGGGCTATAGAAATGTACTTAGCTGATGTGTTGTGTGCTAACACCTTGTCCACATGCACTTACCGGGTGGAAAAAAGCAGCCAAATACAGTCATAACAAGCCAATCACAAGTCCAACCCGTAGGACTGCTGAACTTATTTCCTGTTGAAGCATCCATAAAGCACACTGTTTACTCTCTGCTGACATTTCCCCAGCTTGGAAAAGTGTTCAACTATTCCATCTTGACGATCCCTTTTCAGCATCCTTAGTTCACCCAAAGAGCCAGAAAGGTTTTCCTTAACCACACCTTGTTTTCTTTTTTGGGTAGCTTAAAGAAAATATGTTTATAATTGTCCCAAAGCAGAGAATCTGGCGCAACTTGCCCTAAAATGCACCTGCGTTACTGTAAAATACTTTGGCTTCAAGTCATTGTTGTGTGGTTTAGTTTGCTGTTCAGAAACCACACTATGTACCACAGCTGGCCTGGGACTGAATCCAGCAGGGATTTATTTGTGACTCATTCTTGCTTCCTTGGGCTATTTCCTTCTGAATGGAGAACTAAATATTCCAGACTATCATGGGTGAGTGCTTTATCCATCTTATAGTACACTGTAAAGCACTCACAACATTGTTTGTGTTGTTTCATACAGTCCGGCGTATGCTCTGAAGAAAGAGTCAACAATCATATCAGATCTTTTTTACTCATACCGATTAGTTTTAGAGCTGTATTTATCAAGCGTGGATGATATATTGTTGGCCTTCTTATGGCTCTGGTTTTTTCCCATCGAAAGAATGTGATTCCAATACTCACTTTATTTTGTTTTTGTCTCTGCCAACTCCCGAGGGAAATATCTGCTCTTTATTTGCTAAATGTTACACAATATTTACCACTAACTTTGTCCGCCTGCTGTTTATTGCTGAGCAGGTACAGTCTATCAATTTAGTTTTTTTAAACTGCGTCCTTTTAATGTTTGCTATGGATGTAGTCATTTGGAAGGGTTAACAAGGAAGTCCAGGACGTACACTGAAAACTGAAATGCTGACTTGAGTCAAATGTATTATGTCAACAAATCAGGTCAGTTAAAAGCAATAGAATTCAAGTTTAACCTAATTTATGTTTTTGATTTAACTAAATAGTATGGCTTTCAACTAACATAATACATTTAATTAAAGTGAAGACTGATAAAGTCTGTGTCCTGTGTGAACCCAAATGCAACAATGTAATTAATGTGACAAATTAATCTGCTGAAGAAGATAGTGCAATCTTTGACGTTAAGTAGACCTTCAGTCAAACTACCTCTCATAGGTGAATAATCAACTCTCAAACTCACCACAATGTCTCTCCTCAAATGATTGTGACATTACCAACCATTCTACTGCTTTGAGAAGAAGCTAAAGCAGCTTTGTCATTGGCCCTCACCTCTCTGGTGAAGAGCATGGCAGTGTCATAGTGCTCTGGATGCCTCTGGCTCGGCGGGTTGAAGAGCTGCTGCCAGGAGCAGAAGTTCCTCAGAGCAACCCCCCCGTTGCTGGAGACCTCCGGGCCGACCTCCTCTTCCTCCACCACCAACATCTTAACCACCACTATGTTGACCGAGTTCTTTATGCTGGGGTGCTTGTAAAGCTGGGCAGCCATTGACATCAGGGTTAGAATGTAGTGCTGCGAGAGGGGAGAGACAGGACACAACATTTAAAGAGTTTAACTTCCATGAACATGAACTTCATTGCTCAAGGCTTTTAAACAGTGTTCACATCCATGTTTGATTAAAGAACCAAACGGATGACGGTCAAGACCTGCTTCTATCAATGTTGCATAATATTATGTCTGTATCTCTGCTTGAACAGACTAAAGCAATTAGCAAACAATTTAAAGTTTTCTGTCATTTTGTTGTCTCATTTTTTACTTTAAGACAAAACAATAAATGCAAATAAACAATCTCCATGTATATGATTTTTTTTTCACTATGACTCATGATATGTATGTGTATATATACCGTACAGTATACTGCTCCTACTCTGACACATGCATTTATCCTGCTAACTTCACAAGTATTGCATTTAAGCTTTAAAATGGCCAGACATGTTTAGACACACTCGAGTCTTGTCACTTAGCCTTGCAACAGTTTGAGGAAAACAGATGCAAGATTTAGGCCAACTTGTCTTTTTCTGTAAAGAATTCAGTAACGTAACTTTTTGGCTGTATTATCTGTAAGCTCTGCCTCCACATTTTTTGTGCACTTCACTATGATTGGGTCTTGGGCCGTCCTGACGGGCTGGGTTTTCCACAGAGCTGTCAGAGTTGTTTTAGTGGAGAGCTGGTAAATCACAATGTGGGAGACTGTGCCATGATGTATCGCAACGTCTTCCATCAGCCTAGCTGCACTCACACTTCTCTTCCTAGGGTATGATGACGTTCCCGCATGAACAGTTTTTCCACATGTGCACATGATGTTGATTTTTGCTAAAACACCCCTGTTCAAACAAAAACAAAAGGTAATGACATTTGAGCGAGTCTGTTTTGTAATTTGTAAAAAGCTAATTGAAAGTCAACTTGTCCGTCTAACCTTTGTCCACCTGAACCTGTTTTCTAGCCTTTAGATACTCACTTAGATAACTGACTTTGGGATGAGGCAGAGGGTCTGGCAGCTGAGGAGTTTGCTAAGTGCAAACAGACTCCAGACTGTGGCAGGATCACAGATTGTTCTACTTTTGTTCAAATAAATCTAGAGTTAAGCTCTGGATTGAAAGAGGACTGATATTATGGATGGAGGATCATTTCAGGATTGTTTTTGTATTCTATCACTATCCATCATATGTATTTGTTCAATTTAAATATTGGATGATTTGGATCAATTAAACAAAGTCATGAATAGGAGTTCATCCAAATTCTAGATATTGTAAGCCTTGTGAATATTCACTTCATGACGCTGAGGCTCTGCTGCCAAATCGTGACCAAGTTCTCAGGAATGTGCTTCAGCATTGTTTGCATTTTTGTTGCCTGACCTCTTTCTCAGCCTGTTGAAATCAGGGAGCCCATCGATTTCCTCCCAAGCCCCCTTAATGCCAACATGTGTTTCATAAAGAGGCACATACAATCCGATTCCTGCACTGTGTGTTGGCTTTGAATACTTGCAAGGAGGATGATGGAACGTTTGGTTATGTGACAGATCTAACGATTGTTTGGGTTCCTATCAACAATGTGTGCCGGGAAAAAAGTTGATCGTGTCTGACCTTTATTTCATCTCCGAAGAATTGGGTCATAGTTGAGTCTGCCACAACCAGGGTCTCTATGAACCGTGGTGCGGAAACAAAGCGTCGCCGGCGAGGTTCCCTCCTTTCCCCGTTGTGCTCCGCCGCCGCCGTCGCGTGATCAAACAGGAGGGGAACACCGTGGCTGTTTGTGAATGTCCTCCTCTTGATGACATGCAGATGCTCGGCAGCGTCTGGCCCCAGGCCGCCGCGGAGTTTGGGCTCAATTAAATACTCTTTCCCCTCCGTTATAAAGGAGCCAAAGATGCCGGCGCACAAACTGACAGCCACCACCGAGCTCTCATCGTGGTCTACATTCCCCGAGTAAAAACAGCTCCTAAGATGTCCTTCACTCTCCTCTGTCTGGTTCATGTATTTGTGGAGATCTGCGACAGGCTGGGCACCTGAAGCGCTGCGTAAAGCGCCAACATCTCTGGCTTTGATGCGCTGTATGGTGAACGAAGGCGCGATAAAGCTGGTATCTGGAATAAGATTAAGTGTCAAATCCTTGCCAAATGCACTGAGGATAAACCTCGGCTGCTCCTCACTCCTTTTCCAAAAGCGACCACTGATTCTTCCATTTATCCGGACAGGTACAATATCCTCTGATTCAAAAGGAGTTGAAAGTGCAGCGTTCATTACGCCCAGGAGTAAAAACATCAAACACACAGTGGAACACATCTTCTGCAATGGAAATTACACTGACGAGTGGTAAAAAATAAATACTTTATTAAAATGAATGTCCTTGATCTCTGGTAAGTGGCGCGTCTTCTCCAATCGATATCTCCTCAGGTCGGGAATCTTTTCAAAATAAAATAGATTGTCCAGCGCTGCAAGCCAATCTTGGTCAAACTATTTAATTTCAGTCTGTCTGAGTTGTCGTTTCTAATTCACCAAGCAAGCTAAGTCTTGTTGTGCCACTCACCAGCACCGCTGCAGTCTGGACACATCGGGGGTATTTATACTTTCTGCTCTTCCCTGGACATGAGGGGGTTTATTTTTGATATCCTCGGTTGCTGGAAATTCTCCTCCCACTCGCACTTCATGAGATACTCGCGGATAAAACGGATCCAATGAGAATAGGCCGACACTCCCCCCTTCTGAAATAGCTTGACAACCATGCTCCTATTATTAACCCAGCGTGCTATATGGCAGCGGCAGGACATCTATACTACGCATAGCTGGAAGTCCGCTGCTTGGGTTATTTCGGAGCCTTGTGTGAGTGGCAGGACCCGACAGAGCCCGGAGCCCCCCAAGGCCGGTCTGCTTTATCCCTGCACAAAGGAGCACCGCTGGACAGAGAAAGGCACTGAGTTTGCATGGAACTGACCGCCACCTTGAACCCTGGGAAATGTACACATCCATACACATTGGTAAAGCTAAAGGAATTATGATGTTATTATTCTTTCATTAACCATAACCCCCCAAAAAAGCACATATGTTTGAAATATAATAATAACAATAATAATAATAATAATAATAATATAAACCTTATTATAAAAATACAGTTACAAAGAATATTATTATTTAGTTATGTTTTCATATACCATAACCCATAGAAAAAGTTAAATGATAATAATAATCACAGTAATTATAATTAAAATAAAAACAATTATATATCACTTTTCAAAACAACAGTGTTTTACGATTTACACAATTTAATCACGAGGACAATTAAAGGAACTAAAAGCCAACCAAAACCAAAAGAAAAACATAGAGTTATTCAAACATACAAAAAAATCATAGACAAGCAATTCTTAAAAGTATATAGGTGCAAGAACACGGAGCAATTCTGAAACAAAATCGATTTAAGTGAAATTATATTTGATTTATTACTGCAGATTTTCCTTTTTTTCTTCATGATGCTAACTAAGGTTTTTCTAAAGGGCTACTGCTGTATCACGATAATAAAAATGTGTTCTTCCTGGAACCATGTAAATCACTAAATTGATACTGTGTGTAAGGAGAGTGCCATCTCTTTAAACAATAGCAATGGTTCTGGAGGTGCATTTTCGCACATTAACCACCAGGTGGGGCCAGAGTACAACACACCTGTTCAGGCGCTCAGAGGAACTGAAGCTGCAGTGAACATTAGGTGCTGCAGACAGGTGTCGCTCTTTGCCTGCACTCCACTTTGCATGTGCCTTTAAACGTTGTTCTGATGCATAAGGATATGCAGAACAAAATGTATGTGTTTCTGTGCATGTGAGTGGATACTCCTTTTATGTTTTTATTTTTTATTTGACCAATTCAAATATTTACGTCTAAAAATACATTTTCTGGAAAGAAAAAAAACAAATGGAAAGTACATTTTATGATTTATTTTTAGATTGTGTAAAGTTATGATGCAGGTGGATTAGTTTGAAATGCACGTTTAAAAACTTAAACTCTTGTATTTTGGGTTTTGTTCCTTGTGTGTTTGCTCACTGTCTGTCTTCCTCACAGTGAGTCAGGCGGTGGGAGGGGAATGATGCTCTATAGCTCCTGTCACACATGCGGTACAGCAACAATAATATTTGGAGGGTTACAAGTGGCTGCGGTCTGCAGCTCAAACCGAGACGCATGACCAATGAGCTCTCTCTCTCTCTTGCGCACGAACCCAGATTTATTTTGACAGACATCATCGGTGTTATACTGTATGAGCGAATTTAAAGATCAGCCGTGCAGACAAGTTGGTGGCCAGAGTGGAAACGGTGCAAGATGGGAGAGAAGCTGGAAGTCAGTGCAGACGCAAGCTGCGCTCCGTGCCATTACGCATAACTTTTTGCTGCACCGAAGCTGAAATAGAGTGGACTTTCTTGAGCAAGATGGCTATACTCATCAGTTCATTGATTATATTAACAAAGTTCCTGCTTTATTTGAACCCAGCATATTGCATGGAGGTAGATTTTTGCATCCCTGTGCGTGTGGATCATCAAAGGCACGAGAAACAGCTGCACCGGCGCGCGGAGGAGATTGAGGAAAGACAGATTGTTTTCAGACTAAGTGCATTCAAACAGGAATTTTACCTCCAACTCACGCCGGACTCTAGTTTCCTCGCACCGGGCAGCTTGCCACTTGATAGCAGCTCCTCAGCATCCAACGAAACCTCTGACCTACGGGAATGCTTCTACTCCGGGAATGTCAACGCGGAACCGAACTCATTCGCCGCGCTCAGCCTGTGTAAAGGTCTCCATGGGGGGTTTTCTTATAACGGTATGGAGTATTTCATCAGCCTGACTGGCAGTGAAGACGCTGCGTCAGGATTTGGAAACTCTTTCGACAGGACGCACATCATCCGCCGCCGGAGACGCCCTGCGCACTCGGGTACTAACTTCACCAGCAGGTGTGGAGTTACACCTGACTCCAACTTTAACATTTCCCTGGAGAAATACAAGCACTTGGGCCAACTGGAGTTTGATGGCTTAACCGAAACTGTGTTGAAAACCTTGGGGAGGTCCAAGAGATTTGCCTCCATCCCAAGGTTTGTGGAGGTGCTGGTGGTGGCGGACGAATCTATGGCAACATTTCACGGGGATGACCTAAAGCATTACCTCCTGACCCTGATGTCAGTGGCAGCCAGGCTTTACAAGCACCCCAGCATCCTCAACTCCATAAACATAGTGGTGGTGGGATTCATGGTGATAAGTGACGCTGACAAGGGACCAAAGGTTTCCAGTAATGCAGCCCTGACTCTGCGCAACTTTTGTTCCTGGCAGAAGAAATTGAATAAACACAATGACAAGCAGCCAGAGTACTGGGACACTGCCATACTGTTCACCAAACAGGTAAGCAGGGGAGGAGGGAGCTTAGTCAAACACAGATGTGATGCATCAGCAGGGAAATAAATAATTAGAAATGATACACTCATAGGTGGATTATAAAACAATGGGCCACAGGTCACACATATTTAAGGGCCCCTGTCTCTTCTACAAATGAGAAAGAAACCCAGACTGTAGATTCATTTATTGTCATGCACAGTAGCTGTAGTTACGGCAATGAAAATCTTACCACCCTCCAACAATGAAACATAAATATATATAAGACATGAAACAATAAAGCAAATACAAAAAACGATACAAATAGTGCAAGAAGAAACATAGTACAAATAAAATAGTGCAAGAGAATGTTGCAAGACTAATATGCAAGTAATAGGAGACAAGATGACTACTCTTCCAGTCATATTCTGCAGATGAACCAAACTAACACTCAGGGCCTGAGTGTTAGTGTTAGTGTTAACATGCCTCACGACACAGGCATGTTTGCAGTCATTTGATTGACTTGCAATAATTTCATACAGGTCTGTGCCCTGTAGGGTTATGCATCCTTTATGTGATGATGCAGCCCTGCTAGTCCTCTTCTGTATTCCAATTAGTCACTGTAAAGGAGCAACAGAGCCAGTTGTTTCCATAAAAAGTCTCCACCTCTGTCTGCAGCTGCAGAATAAGAACTGGGTCATTATCTGCATATAGGAACCTTCAATATGAATCATAAGAATCCAAACTCCTTCTTTATCCATTCAAGGTGGTGGTAACTGACACTATCTACGACATTCAGTGTGGTCACAGCTGTCAGATAATCCCATGTGGCCACTAGAGCTGTAACCATTGTTCAGTACATCCTACACCAACTTCACTGATGCCTGTTTCATGGTGCCTGCTTTCCATTAGGGTCCAGTTTGGCCATCTGATACACGGCCTCTCTCCTTCACTGCAAAGCAACATACAAAAACATTTCAAGGTCAAAACGACTTAAAAAATCACAGTGTACTCGGGAAAGATCCCTTTATTTACACTAAGGGTAATTATATGTAGGAAAGTCCGGCGGTGTTGTCCTTGTAGGGCACAATGAGTGCAGCTGCAGAGATGGAAACAATCTTGTAATAGGTTATAGAGAGCTGGTGGTGTGGAATACACATGGCTGGCAGAGGGGGCTTCTGCCATCGCTGGGCCTCATCGAAACACTGGGTTAACAAGTTTATCGTCCACTTTGGACCGATAGTGAGTCATTTCAATACTAACAAAACATATATTAAAGGTCCCATGTCATGGCCATTTCTACTGATATTTCCATTGTTGAAGTCTACTAGAATAGATTTAAATTGTGTAATTTTCAAAACTCACATTGGTTTCTCAAACAGCATCTCTGTATAGTAGGCCTATGTGTATTCACTCTCTGTCTTAAACGGCTTGTTGGAGCTCCTGCCCCCCCCCCCCCTCCCTGTGAGCGCAGTGTGCTCTGATTGGTCGGGACGTTGCAAGGCTTGTTGCGAGGCTCGTTGCGAGGCTCGTTGCGAGGCTCGTTGCGAGGCTCGTTGCGAGGCTCGTTGCGAGGCTCGTTGCGAGGCTCGTTGCTGCTCGCCGCTGCTGCGAGGAGCGGACAGGTTTCCGGGTCGGCGATACAGCTAACAAGCGAAACTCATCCTGAGCACACACAAACACTCACAGCCTAAGTAAAAACAATAAGCGTGGCTTGATATTGAGTAAGAAAAAGGTTTATAACGCTGTGAGAATGGGTCTACGGAGAGCATTTCTCCGCGATCCCAACTCGTCTATTACCAGCGTTCAGGGAGCTCTATGCAAGTCAATGGGACTCCCTGTTAGTTAGCCAAGGGATCCTGGTGTGTGAGGTGCTCCGCGGATTGGTCCATTTGGGCCAATCCGGTCATTTGTTGTTGATTTGGGTGTTCACACGTCACAGAATCCAGGAAGCAAACAATGGAAAAAGAGAAATCTCCAACGAGGCGTTCTGGGGCAGCATAGACAGGTCTTTTCTTGTAGAGTTTTACTCGCTACAGGGTGTACTTTG